TTCGCGTGCGATCCAGTCGATCGGTGCCGGCCGCATGTCAGGTACGTGCGGGGGGCTCTCAAGCAGCGGGACTGGGAGATTCCAATCCTGTTTGTTGTCGTCGCTGAAGTTGTGATGCGTGCTGAACGGATTGTTGTTCGGGGACGCTTCGATTGGGTCAGGCGCCAGCTCGGGTGAAAGTGAGCGCGCGCGCGGGCGACGAGAGCCGCTCGTCATGGTCATGTTCCCCATGACATTGCGGACGGGGGCAGTCTGTGATGACTGCTGCTGCTGAGTTGTCGGATTCAGGTTACGCGATGGGGGTTGATACCCCTGGGCGGGACGCGTGTCGTTCCTCGCGTCTTGTCGGCCGGACCAGGTGCTCGGATTGGTCTGTCGAGGGCGAGATCGATGCTTGCATCGGTCCGCCAAGTGCCCGAAATTCCTGCAGATTTTGCAGTAGAGGCGCCGTGGCCGTCGCTCTTCCGTGTTGTCCGCGTAGAAGGCGAGACGTTCTCTCTCTCGTCGTGGCGCTGGTCGCTGCTGGTCCATATCCCGTTGTTCGACGAGGAGGGCGGCGCAAAGGGCGGCCTCCGAGATGACCCCCTGCTGTCGGAGAAGCGCCTTGCAGGGCCGCCACTCGGGGCCAAGCCCTTGGAGCACGATATTTACGAAGATTTCCTCAGAAATCGTGCTCCCCAGTTTCGCGATTTGATCGCGTAGGCTCCGACAGCGATTCAGGTAACTGTTGGCCTTCTCTCCTGGTGCCATTTTGGTCTCCAGTAGCTACTCGAAAAGACGGCTCGACGACACCGAGTCCTTCGGTTGATACACACCATTCAGGTGGCGCCAGGCGTTGAGGGCTGGAGCAGGCGAAGTTTTGTATGAGCGTATGCTCAATTGCTCCGTCGGCGACATATTTCGAAGAAGAACCCCGTACGCCATCAGGGACTCGTTGTAGTACTTGATTTTTGCGTCGTCAGTTTCCTCCGTGGGTCCCGTGTAGCTCCCGTCAAAGTAGTGAAAGATCTGCGCGTTTTGCAGCAGCAGCTCCAGCTCGAAGCTCCAGGTATAGAAGTCTCTGCCGTCAAAGCACACACTTGTCTTTATTTTTTATATGCTCAAAAACCTTGATTGCGCAGAGAGAATTGCTTCATCGCTGGGACAGGGAGTCTTGGGTGTTGAGCCGTTTGTGTCAAGAGAGAAGCCTTGCGGGGCGGAGTTCTGGCCGTTCGAGGCCGGTTGAGTGGGTTGGGAAGATGTTCCCGCATCGCCATTCCGCAATGTTTGGAGCCCTTGCTCCAGGCTCGTGAGTCGCTGAAGCAGTTGTGCGAGGACGACGGAAGGGATTGTCGTCGTATCCTCGTTTGTCGCAGCTGGATTAGTTTGCGCTTCAGCCGTCAGATTCGTCTGACCTCCAGATCCTCCGGCCATTCTCACACGTGAGCGTGTGCCGGACGCCACTTTCCGTTCGCCGAATATTTCGGTGGTGGCGGTGCGAAGGATTCCTGAGTCGCTCTCATACCATGTTGCGATCAGAAGTTGATCGCCCTCAGGATCACCTCAGGAAGGTTCGCACAGTTCTAGTCTAGTGGTGGTGGGCCCTTTACCTCAATAGCAGAGTGAATGTACATGCTTGAGATAATAAAAACATGCAATACAAAGGATATAAATAAGATTACAGGGGAATGCCAATCGACCTAGCTAGCCATGTACTCTAAGGGGTACATTCCCTTATTGCAGCGAAATCCAACCGTGCGACTCCGGACAGTTACGAAACAGTTCGGGCAGAATCCTCGCCATTGCTGCTGCCTGATGCTGTCTGCCCGACGGTCCAGATCCTTTCGTAACCGTGTGACTCTTCGTGTCACCTCCGCCTGTCCGTCTTCATTCTCGGTAGTACGTGCTCTGATTGCTGCGGTGAGGAGTGTGTAATAGTGTTTCAACAATCACTATTCGTAACACCATCCACCAGCCAACTGCCTCGCAACCGCCCCGCCAGCATGACACGACCGCCGACAGAGCCTATCATCACGCCCGACAAAGTACTGAGCCACCGAGTACGTGACCCACTGGGAGCCCGCAGAATCGAATTTCTGATCCGCTGGAAAGACCGCACGCCCACCGAAGACAACTGGGTCCCCTTGGATAGAATTGAGAAACACCCTGTCCTTACTGAGTACCTGCGCAGCCGAAACTACCGAGATGTATACGCGCTCTCGTAAGAGGGGCCTCCGTGGGGAGGGGGGTAGTGCAAGGAAAATTCATTTTCCTTACTTCGCGTCCCTGCTTACCGCGTACAAGACCATTCCCGCCATCGGCACCCAAACAGTGAAACGTTACCCGCTCGCGACACTCGCCTCGACTACGACTCCCGCCACCATTCACGATGCGACCCAACCTCACGGTTCGGTTGGTAACCCGCGCTCCGGACCTCCGCCTCGACATTTCCCAACCTCGGCGCTAGGCCCGTAGCGCACCCCATTATCTCGCGTTACCGTTACCACTCTAGTTCGCTATATGTTCTTCGCGCATGCCTTCGCTCATTGTATTGTTTTGCTTCGATAGTGCAATTCTCGCTCGCTCGCTCAATTGCACTCGTAACAAACATCCTGTATGTGCAAAGTACACAGTTTTGTAAAGTAACCTGATGTCTCGTTTGAACCTCTCAGTGTCCTGATCGGATATACGGGAAACGGACGACAGCGAATGAGGTCCGCAGACCTTTACGAAGGCTGCGATCGGTGCGAATGAGAGTGGCCATCTCTACGTGGACTGATTTTGCCTTACGTGGCAATGCAAACGGTTCCTGGGGTGACCACAAGCCTATGTCAGAGGTCTGGCACGCTGACAGATCAGTTTTCATAACAATCAAGGTTCCACACTTGTGGTGCTCCACTAGTGGGTTACTTTGCTTGGGAGGTGCCTTGTAGGCTCGGGCCACGTCATTCAGTGGAGTCATTGGCAGCCTTCCATCAATGGATCAGGCTTGCGCTGACCACAGCTTCTTCGACATCTCCTGTGGCCCATCTGTGTTTGGTTTGCCATTTCCTGCATACACTGGCAGCCCCTTTTGTCAGTGGAACAATCTCCAAGGTAGCTCAGACACTTGCCAACCATGGCTGCCGCTCTCTCCAGCTCCGTGTCTGGCATTCAGACGAAGGCACTCGGCCTCAAGGCCGCTGCTCCCAAGAAGAGCGTTGGTGCATTCGGCAGTGAGATGCACAGCGCCTCCCTGAGCAGCACCTTCTCAGGCAAGCAGATTGCCGCTAAGGCCTCCACCAGGTCCCACGCCTTCACCAAGAGGACCGTCCTTGTTGTGTGCAAGGCCGCTGGTGAGAAGACTGTTGTGGTTGGTCTTGCCGCTGACTCAGGATGCGGAAAGTCTACCTTCATGAGGCGCATGACTGGCGTGTTCGGTGGCAATGCTTCTCCTCCCAAGGGTGGCAACCCCGACTCCAACACCCTTCTTAGCGACATGACGACCGTCATTTGCCTCGATGACTACCACTCCCTTGACCGTAACGGCCGTAAGGTCGCCAATGTTACCGCTCTTGACCCCAAGGCCAACGACTTTGACCTGATGTACGAGCAGGTCAAAGCCCTCAAGGAGGGAAAGTCCGTGATGAAGCCCATCTACAACCACGTGTCTGGCCTTCTGGACCCCCCGGAACTGATCGAGTCCCCCAAGATTCTGGTCATTGAGGGTCTCCACCCCATGTATGTAGTCTCCACATTTACCATTAGTACTGCAGTGTGTGCGTACAAACAGACTGACTGAGCATGCCTTTTTGTCTTTCAGGTATGATGAGCGCGTGCGTGACCTGATTGACTTCAGCATCTACCTTGACATCAGCGATGAGGTCAAGTTTGCCTGGAAGATTCAGAGGGACATGGCTGAGCGTGGCCACAGCCTGGAGAGCATCAAGGCATCCATTGAAGCGAGAAAGCCCGACTTCGATGCTTTCATTGGTAAGCATTTGTCCTATCTTATTTCCCACGGACCTGCAGGCCAACTCGCTAACCTCTAAAATTTTGTTTCCCTGCTATATCCAGATCCCCAGAAGCAGCACGCGGATGTTGTTATCCAGGTGCTCCCCACTCAGCTCATTCCTGACGACAACGAGGGCAAGATCCTTCGCGTGCGCATGATCCAGAAGGAGGGTCTCGAGAACTTCGACCCAGTGTACCTGTTCGACGAGGGCTCCAGCATCTCATGGATTCCCTGCGGAAGGAAGTTGACATGCTCGTACCCCGGCATCAAGTTCTACTACGGCCCTGACACCTACTACGGAAACGAGGTACGCTCACTCGCGGCTCCTTGTACTAACATGTGTAATGCAGTGCACTCTTCGGCACAGAAAGAAAAACATATAGCATATTTTCGCCGTAATCAACCTTGGCTAACGTAGACGCTTCCGCATTCTTCAGGTGTCTGTGCTGGAGATGGACGGGCAGTTCGACAAGCTTGACGAGCTTATCTACGTGGAGAGCCACTTGAGCAACACATCCACGAAGTTCTACGGTGAGGTGACCCAGCAAATGCTGAAGAACGCCACCTTCCCCGGCAGCACCAACGGCACTGGCCTCTTCCAGACGATGGTTGGCCTGAAGCTTCGTGAAGCATATGAGCGTATCATCTCTAAGTCTGCAGTTGCTGTGTAAACCTGTAACGACCCATCTATATAACATTGTTATCAGACTGAAAGTCTGCTAGCCAAATAACATCTGAAACTGAAGAAACCCGAAACTAGAAAGAGTGTATGTTACTTTCCTAATGGAAAGAATGATTGTTGGTGTTTAACTGTTGCTCTTCATACATCAAAAGGTAGGAAAAATATTTGCTGCATAATTGCTGCTCTGAGAACGTCAGCGTCTCAGGGCACCATACTGAATCTTAAACTCAACCACCATGGTGTGAAGAACTGCTGAACTGGGACATGAGTACATTCATGGACAAGGGATGTACTGTAACATCAAGTTGGAACACCAAAAACTGGTTGGCATGGCACATCTACAGCTCATTTCTTGTCCCCTTGACCCTTGGTGGCAACTGCCAGGAGGTTCTGCGCCTCTGAGATTCCGTCCACAATGGCACGTGTCAGCCAGCTCACCCCAACACGTGCCCTGTGCTCATTGGTTGGCAACCGGTACAGGTATGCTAGCTTGCGCGCTGGAGAGCACAGGGGTCAATGCACAGACAGGGGGCGGGCGTCGCAAGGACAGAAGGAACCAATGGGCTCTGAGTAGATAGGCAAACAGACGAAAATGTATGAAACAGGAGTAGCATAACACGGTGCAGGCACTGATGGAAGAGATGCAGGTGCTAGACATGCACTCAAAGTTGCAGGCAGAAATGGCACTGACTGCTCACCTGTGTGTGCAGTGCACCCCTCAATGAGAAAGTCATCAATGAAGCCCACCAACCAAGGTGCTCAGCTTTGTTCACCAAGTTACAGGCAGTGATGCGTCTGAGTGAATGCATCTAGCCCGTGTGTGCCGCTCACCTGTGTGCGCCGCTCGCCCCTCAATGAGAAAGTCATCAATGAAGCCCACGGATGCTGCTGCATCCTTGGATCCCAGCAGCACCAACTCGCCCAAATGCTGGTACCTGGGGGAAGGGACACGTGCAGGGAGAGAGTCAGTACGGTGGTACAAGCGATGGCTGAATGACTGTGAAATCCAAGAAAGGCGCTATTGCAGTGGTGCTTTAGATGGATTCATTGTGAACTGTGAGGGAGTTTGACACGTGCAAAAATGAAGAAGCCATGCACATGCATGATATCAACAAGAGAAGCATTCTCACCTGAAGGGAAGCAGGGGGCGGTTGTTGATGGCAGCCCAGATGTTCCACCCCACGTAGTCCGCCTGTTGGAATGCCACCTGCCATCATCAACAACGCACAAGAGTTGCGGCCGGAAACGAGAGCGAGAGCATTAGAGATGATTTGACTGTGAATGGCCTATGTGCTCTGGCCGACACAGGTATGGGAGCGTGCGGGATGGGCGCCTGAAGTGACAGAATCATGTACCGTGCTGAACTGTGAACAGTGGCTCCTGCTCTGACAGCACATACGGAAAGCCACCTGAAAGCCACCTGTCCCTGCAGCTCTCAGCTGTCAACTACAGATACCTGACAGACTGAGCACTACCTGGAGAACCATCTGGGAGCATCACCTGAGAGCTCTCACCTGAGCGGTGGCCGGCAGTGTGTGCCCGTTGCCGTCCGGCACGCATGCGGCATCCCCGAGGGCAAACACCCTGGTGAGCCCCCTCACTCGCAGACTCTCCTTCACCTGATGAGTAGCACGAGAGAGCTCTCACCTGAGCCGTAGCCGGCAGTGGGCGCCCGTTGCCGTCCGGCACGCATGCTGCATCCCCGAGGGCAAAGACCCTGGTGAGCCCCTTCACTCTCAGACTCTCCTCCACATCCGCCTGCCCCCTCGCTGTCCTCCTCAACCACTGCACCGCCCCCTCCCCTCCCGCTCCCCCCGCTCCTCCCGCTCCCCCCGCTCCTCCCGCTCCCCCCGCTCCTCCCGCTCCCCCCTCCCCTCCTGCTCCTCCTGATGTTTCTAATAAAGCTTCTTCTGAAACAGAGGCTGGGAGAACAGGCGAGCTGCCGACGGTCCAGAGAACAACATCCGCCTCCATTTCACTCTCCCTCTCACTCTCACTCCCAGCGCTGCCGGGTGATGCTGACTGGAGGAAGAGGCGCGCGGCTGGCACGGCAAAGGGCGATGGGTCTGAGTCCGAAGGGGGGGATGAGGATGATGAGGATGATGAGGATGATGATGATGAGGAGGAGGAGGATGAGGGGGAGGAGGAGGATGAGGGGGAGGAGGAGTGAGTGGCATCAGCCATGCGTGTGACCTTGGTGCCCAGGCGCAGATGCACTCCCCTCTCCTTGAGCGCCTGTGCACGGCAAGGGGTGGTGGCAGAAGGAGGGGCGGTAAGGACAGATCACACCAGAGGGACAGCCGAGCACGAGTTGCAATGGCAGGGTGGCAGAGGAGAGAGAGAGGAACACAGAGGAGGGAGGAACACAGAGGAGGGAGGAACACAGAGGAGGGAGGAACACAGAGGAGGGAGGAACACAGAGGAGGGAGGAACACAGAGGAGGGAGGAACACAGAGGAGGGAGGAACACAGAGGAGGGAGGAACACAGATTAGGGAGGAACACAGAGGAGGGAGGAACACAGAGGAGGGAGGAACACAGATTAGGGAGGAACAGAGGAGGGAGGAACACAGATTAGGGAGGAACACAGAGGAGGGAGGGAGAGATGGATAGCCCACGAGGAAAGAGGGGGAAATGCAGGAGTGGGGATTTATGATGCGAGGAACGAATGAAGCATACCCTCTCTGCAGCGCGCCTGTTGCCGGGAGCAGCAGCGGGGCACACAGCAGCAGCCGGGTCAACAATCTCAATGCTGCCCTTGCTGCCCAGGCGCTCCCCCACCGTGCATGCCAGCTCCACCCCCGCATAGCCCGCCCCCACCACCACCACTCGGATCGGGGGTGGGTCCTCGCCTGCCTCCTTGGCCGCCTCCCATCGCTTCTCCAGCAGCAGCAAACGGCGATCCACTGCCTGTGAGCGGGGAGAGGAGTTGAGAGGTTGGGGAGAGATGGAATGAGCAGCAGCATTTTTATTCCCCTTGCTGCCTAGGCGCTCCCCCACTGTTCAAGCCAGTTCCACTTTTGAGGCGCCCCATAAGTCGCTCCCCACGGTGCATGCCAGGTCCACCCCCGCATAGCCCGCCCCCACCACCACCACTCGGATGGGCGCTGGGTCCTCCCCAGCTTCCTTTGCCGCCTGCCACTGCTTCTCCAGCAGCAACAGCCGCCGATCCACCGCCTGTGAGGGGGGAAGGAGGCAGTCGGAGGTTAAGGTGAGATGGAATACGCAGCAGCATTTTGAGTCCCCTTGATGCCCAGGCGCTCCGCCACTGTTCACGCGAGCTCCAATTTTGAGGCGCCTTTAAAAGGCGCTCCCCCACGGTGCAAGCGAGCTTCACACCCGTATAGCCCGCCCCCACCACCACCACGCGCATGGGCGCTGGGTCCTCGCCTGCCTCCTTTGCCGCCTGCCACCGCTTCTCCAGCAGCCACAGCCGCCGATCCACTGGCTGTGAGGGGGGGGTGGGGCAGGAGGTCGGTGGGGTGGGTGAAGGTACATGCTTGAGCGGACTCAACAGTCACCGCATGGGTGGTGGGTCCTCGCCTGCCTCCTTGGCCGCCTGCCATCGCTTCTCCAGCAGCAGCAACCGCCGATCCACTGCCTGTGAGCGGGGGAGTGAGGACGTGTGGGTTTGAGGAGACATGACGGCAAAAAAACACTGATAACACCCATCGCGTACTGGAGCAAGCATTGCTGACGCATGGCCATACTGCACCGCACTGCACCGGACGACATCACACTGCACCACGCTGCACCATATCAGACAGCACTTACCCCACAACACCACATCGTAACACAGCATACATAACCATACGGCATCAGATCGCACCATACCGCACTCTACCACAGTCCACCGCAGCGTACCAGAGCGTCGTCCAGGGTGCTGAAGGGCAGAGCTCGCCCCTTGGCGCCTGGTGCGAAGGCCATGTTGGTCTGCGCTCCCAACGCCAACACCAGCCTGACAGGGGGGTAGGGGAGGGTCGGTGGAGGGAGAGTGGGAGGAGAGAGTAGGCGAAGGTAAGGAAGACGGGAGGATGGAAGGGGGGAGGCGCCTGGTGCGAAGGCCATGTTGGTCTGAGCGCCCAACGCCAACACCAGCCTGGCCGGGAGGTGTGGGTGGAGAGAGGAGGGGAGGGGAAGGTAAGGGAGAGGTGGTAAGGGCACGGAAAAGAGCGTATGAGTATGTCTCATGAAACATGGAGGAGGAGGGTGGAGGAGAAGTGCAGAGTGGGAAAGCAAGAACGAGTGAGAATGGGTGAAGAGCAGTGCGTGAACTGACAGGTGGGACAGGTGGGACAGGTGGGACAGGTGTGACAGGTGTGACAGGTGTGACAGGTGTGACAGGTCACAGGTGTGACAGGTGTGACAGGTGTGACAGGTGTGACAGGTGTGACAGGTGTGACAGGTGTGACAGGTGTGAACCTACCAATCGTATTCCACCTCCACTCCAGAAGCCAATCGCACGCGTCCACCTTTATCTCCTGCCACATCAGCTGCCCCACCCTTAATCACGTGCACTGCCTGCACGCCGTCCTGCAGGAACGCCACTTGCGTGCTTCTGAGGAGGTCCGAGAACTTGGGTGCTATCTCCCACACCGTGACGTCTGGTGGGCATGGGGGGAGGCGAGCGAGTGGGAGTGAGTGGGGGAGTGAGAGAGGGAATTTAGAGGCGACTTAAAACTTGCTTCTGAGGAGGTCCGAGAACTTGGGTGCTATCTCCCACACCGTCACGTCTGGTGGTGGGCGGCGGGAGTATAGAGCGAGAGCGAGCATGGACGTGAGAGGGGGTGAGAGAATGAAAGAACTGGGGTGCTATCTCTGGTGGGAGAGAGAGTGAGTGGGGAAGAAAGTGACTGGGAAAGAGAATGAGTAGGGGAGGACAGGCGAGAGCGAGAGAGGATCAAAGTGAGGTGGACGGGGGTGTTGGGGTAGAAGTAACGGAGGGAAAAAATGCGAGGGGCAGGCACTGCAACGCACTGGTGCATGCAGTGAGAGGAACGGGTGATGGGCAATCAAGGAGCAGAATGGATAAGTAAATAGGAATTAGAATGGCAAAAGAGCACGAGCAAGTAGATCTCATCTCAAGCCACTCCGCCAGCAGATAAGGGTAAGGAGCCAGCAGGGTACCCACCTTGCGAGAGCAGCTCGTAGAGCAGCGGTTTGAACACGAAGCGCTCTGATTGGTCCACGAGCAGCACCTGTGGGCGGCGCTCGTCGCTCCACAGCAGCGATTCCAGCCGCAGCGCCGCATACAGGCCCCCGAACCCGCCGCCCAGCACGCACACGCGCGGCCTCTGTATTGGAGGGAGTGTGGGGGGGAGACGGGAGACAAGGGGAAAGGATGGGGGAATCGGCGCTCGTCGCTCCACAGCAGCGAGTCCAGCCGCAGCGCCGCATACAGGCCCCCGAACCCGCCGCCCAGTACACACACTCGCGGCCTCTGTGAGGGGGGGTGGGGAAGCGGAGGAGAGGGGGGAGGAGGGGTGAGGTGTAGAACAACATCCGGGGAAGAAGGTGGGAGGAGAGCGGGAAGGGAGGGGGACCGAGTGGTGGAATAAAAGTCAGAAGGGGGGGGGACGGAAGGATGGGGACGAAGAGGGGCGAGAGAGGTGCCGGCGACACTGGGAAACCCGCAGACAGGTGGATGCGAGAGTTGGCTACAGCATCCCCTGAAACGTCCCCCTGATATGCACCCGTAGTATCCTCCTTTCCTCCCTCCCCGTGGCTTCCTACTGACCGTCGGATCAGGCCACGTGTACATGCCGCCTCCCCCCTCGCATCTCGTCACGCCCACTGCCCTCCCGCCAGCTGCGGGCGGAACCGTCCCCACGTAACGCCTCCCCCCCGCGCCTGCTCCCCCCGGGCCTCCCCCTCCCCCCGCGGCGGGGAGCAGCCTGCGCGCGCCGGTAACGGCGGAATGCGCCAGCCACGGCTGGTACCACCACGCCTTGGCGCCACGTGGCGGCGGGTAATTGGCTGTCGGGCGACACCTACGGAGCACCGGCGCGGGGGGTGAGGAACGATGCGCGAAGGGGCTGCTCCCGCTCGTGGCGGTGGAGAGGTGTGAGTGGAGAGCGTGAGTTGCGGCGGGGAAAGCGGCAGATTTGGTGGCGGGGAAGGCGGAGGCGGTGGAGGAGACACATCGGCCGCAGAGGCGATGCGCCATGGCCGTCAGCGAGGTGGAATGAGTGACTGCTGTGTCTCCTGTCAACAAGGTGACCGCCTGTGACGAGGTAAATTCAGTGTCTCCTGTGACCCCTGTGTTCCCTGTGACCCCTGTGCAATGAATTAGGCAGCGAGCAATTCGAGCACAAGCGATACGACTCGGCGTCGCGATGCGACTCCGCCTCACGGTGCTCGAGGCGGCAAAACTACTCCTCCCACAGCCGCACGACCCGGGTGGCGGGCGGAAAGCCGAGCGCGTCGGACAGCAGCACGAGGAAGAGGAGGAGGACGGCGCGCGCGCAGCGGAAGAGGAACGAGAGGAGCGCGGGGAGGCGCGAGAGCATGCCAGTCGCCTCGAGGCGCGTGAAAGGAGCGGAGGACAGTGAGTGGACGGAGAGGATCGCCGACGCTAGTGCCGCGACGCAAGGAACGCTGCTGATGATGCGCTGCTAGGCTAGCGCTCGCTAGCTATGATTGATGCGATGACGGTCGCTGAATTCAACACTCTACTCCTTTTCCCCGCAGGCTCTTGCTGACCTGAACTCTTCCGATGAAGAGAAGGAGTGGATGATTTTTTAGCAATTCTGCAATGAACTGCATTGCAACGAGGATATATTTATGCGGTGTGGAGGAAAGGGGAGGGAGCGACGATGTGGAACTGAGGAAGGGCCACCACGTCACCTTCTTCGTCGGGTGTGCCCCACTGAGCGCCACGTCTCTCAACTCAACCCCCAATGTGGTAAGCTGCGCTACAAAATCAAATCCGTTGTTCACTTCAGGCTGAAGTAATTCTTAAACAGTAAAGCTAAGCTACATACGAAGAATCAGAAGCAACAATAGGGAAATGTTTCTTCAAAACCTTCAATATGTTACAGCAGCACACTTAATCGATATATATGTACACCACTAGGTTACTGCACAGCCTTGCTGTTCCTGGGGAGATGGTACGCCTCATACCCCTTCATGCTGTCATGCCTTGCCAATGCTCCTCTCAGTGCTTTCACTATCGTGCCCTCCCCTGGAAGACCTTTGTTGTCTACAGCCCCCTTTCTCCTCACCACCACCACCCACTCCCCCTCCTCCCCAACATCACCACTATCACCACCATCACTAGTAGTTTCACCACGAGCATCAGCATCCAACGGCTCCACAGTGATGACGAATGATCCGACGGACGTGAGGAGATCGCCGCGCATGGTGATCAGCGTCAGCTCGGTGCCGTCCGATTGGTTGTCCACGCGCACGGGCAGAGGAAGGGGCAGCTCGGAGGAAAAAGACCAGAGCGTGGCCCACTGCTGGACGAATGCTATGAGCTGAATGATGGGTGGGGGAGGAGAGGGAAAGATGGGTAGGAGTTGGGGAGGGAGTGGATGGAGTCAAGGGGGAGGCGGAAATTTTCAAAAACTTATCCTCCTCCCAAAAGGGGGAAAACAGGAAAAGGCAATCTGCATGCTGGAAAGGAAAGCATAAGGGAGCCCTGCTGAAGCACACCCACCCACCTCCTCTTTGTCGCCCTCCCCCGCTGGCTGCCTGAGAATCTCCGAGGATGCTGCTGTGCCCAGCATTGCATGCCACGGGAACCAACCCCCCTTCTTTCCTCCTCCCTTTCCCCCTCCACCTCCTCCTCCCCCTTTTCCTCCTTCCTCCCCCCTCCCCCCACCTGTCTGCCTCCCACCGTCACGGCTACCCTCACTGTTACCCTCGCTGCTGCCGGCAGTGCTGCTAGTTGCATTCGCCCTGGCCCACTGAGAGCTGCCCTCCCCCGCATCCGCGCCTGCCTCCCCCCCTGGTCCCCCCCACGCCCCCCATGCCTGCGCCCACTTCTGCCAAAACCCGCCACCCAATCCGTTCATCCTCGCGTCCGCCTCCTGACGGGCAGCACGCTGAGCTGGCGTCTCCTGCTCTGCTGCTGACGTGGCTGTGCGAGAGCAGGGAGGAGAGGATGGAGAGATAAGTGTTGGAAAGGAACATCAGTGAAGGAGATAGGAGAGGAAGGGAACATGTAACATATGTAACAGAACAGCGATCCGTTGCATGTGGCAAGCTTTGTAACACATTGTCATGTAACTGAATCTAATTTGACATAGCCCGAAGAAACATGAACACTCGCAAATAACTCAGCACACACTCAGCCCGCTTCCTCCCCTGCCCCCACCAACCTGCCCGCCGGCGCTCTGCCCCCTCCTGCTGGCTCTCTAGCTTGCGCTTGAACTCTCGGGCAGCAGCGAAAATATTGATCGGGTGCCCGGGCTCCCAGCCGCCCCCAAAGATGCCCTTGCTCTCCCTCTCCCGCGGCTGCCAGGGAACGTGAGACGCGCGGGAGAGTGGGATGAGGGGCATACGGTGTGAGACAGGATAAGTGGGATCAAATAAATGTCAAATGTGTACGAAAGCGAGTGAAAAGGGAGTAGAGGAGGGGAGGACTTGGGTTGAATGGGTTCAGATGAGACCTGCACGAGGAACTCGAGGATGGGCAGGTCGCCACGTGTCACCGTGTGGATGCAGCTGACGGGGCAGCTGTCAATGGCTGATTGGACGGCGGGCAGCGCGTCGCCCCACTGTGTGTGCACGCGCGCCACGGCGGCCTCGGGGTCAAAGTGGAACGTGCGGCTGGCGGCGAAGGCGCACTCGCGACAGCCTGGCGAGGCGAGGAGGGCCGGGGTGGGGGTGGGGGGGGTGGCGGTGGGCGAAGAAGAGGGATGGGAGAGGACGGGAGGGGTGGTGGAGGAAGTGAGGGACACAGATAAGGGAGCGAATTCGTGCGATGTCGCGAGTGAAGCCATCACGGCACCGAAGCACAACCAAACACACGGACATCAGCTACAGTCACACCCACCCACCGATGCAAGCAGCCTCGTCGACGAAGATCGCCTGCTGCTGCCCCTCCGGGGCAGCCCACGCGCTGCGCGGCTGCCCCGTGAACCCCACGTATCCCGCCACGGCCGCGTCGCGCCACTCTTTCTCGTACGACGCGCGGCGCGTGTCGTCCATGAGCGTGTCGTACGCCTCGTTCAGCTTCAGCGCCATCTCGTGCGTCTATTTCAGAACGGTGGGTAGGAGAGAGGTGGGCAAGAGAGGTGGGCAGGAGAGGTGGGCAAGAGAGGTGGGCAGGAGAGGTGGGCAAGAGAGGTGGGCAGGAGAGGTGGGCAAGAGAGGTGGGCAGGAGCGGGGTTGGCGACTACAGAGAACGGTGGGCGGCAGGCGGTGGGCGGGAGGTTAAGGCGAAGGCACGTGAAGGGAGACACACGAGGGGCGGCACGGATTCCACCGTTGACAAACGAAGATTTCTCTCAAGTGTTTAGAGAAACAGACTTCACCGCGTGAGGGCTTTGACGCTGGGCATTCAGCCAATCCCACGACGAGCGTTCACATGCACGCGCGGATGTGCGACATGCGCGTCAATTGTTGAGCGCACCTGAGCGCCCGCGATGTCGGGGTGGTACTTCTTCTGCAGCGCGCGGTATGCGCGGCGGATGTCGGCGGGGGGCGCGCCGACGGGCACGCCGAGGATCTGGTAGTAGTCCAACCCCACGAACGCGAACGGCGACGGCACCGACGACGACGACGACGACGACGACGACGACCCGCTGTCGCGACTGTTGCCGCCGTTGCCGCCACCGCTGTTGCTGCTGTCGCTGCAGCTGCGGTGCGTGTCACCCGCGCTGCTAGCGGTGCTCCCGGCGGCACCGGCGCTCCGGCTCGCCCCTGCCGCGGCACTTCGCCCAGCTCCTCCGGCGGAACATGACGTGGCGGGGGGGCGCGAATGGAGCTTCAGGGGGAGACGCGTCGGAGGGCGGAGTGCGGCGGGAGCGGAGCTGAAGGCGAAACGGGAGGGAGACAACAAAGGGTTTGATTACATGCGAATTGACAGCAGCGTCAGGCACTACTGGTACAAAATGGCGTGGCTCTACCGAAAAAATAGCTCTTGTTGCAAGATGGAGGTATTTCACATGGCAACGTAGTACCTTGTTAGCCTGAGGGGAGCCGACGGAGTCTTCCCCAGCAAAAGCGAGTCACCGACACACTTGGGCGGAAGCCCAATTGGGGCAGCAAGGCTGACGGCAAGAGCACCGAGAGGCGCCATGACGAATAACGATGGCGGTTCAGCTGAATTCGACTAGAGGGTGTCACAAGAGAGTAGCCGTGGGGAACGATAGTAAATTGGAAATCACTGTGACTCCCAAGGTGTCAGAACATGGAGGACAAGAGTGCTGAGAGTGGTGCAGCTGGGGAAAAGGAAGAAAGGATGGTCTGAATATAGGGAAGGATTCAGAACAAGTGAGCCGAGATAGCAGTATGGGATGGTTGCGGATAGGAAAGGGAAAGCGAGGAGGTGATGGGGGATGGACTTTGTTGGTGGGCGCACGAGATTGTTAGTGAATTTAGTCGAACTTGAAAAGAAAAAGTACTGTACCGTACAGATAACCTAGGGAACCGATCTGGGCCGTGCTGAGAGAAGTGAATTGAGAATGCAAATAAACTGGGGGGTGGCGCCGCGAATCAGAATCCCTATGTCGCGCGAGTGCTGCGCGCGTTGAGAAGGCATTGGGGGAGAGCGTTCCTTATGCGCTGAATGGAGGGAAAAGATGACGCGATGACCTGGATTGTGGTCTTCCGCCAATCGGTGATGCTCTGTACACGGTGGCAGAAGGTGATTCCACGCTACAGATCCAGGTTCAAGGGCCTCCTTTCTGCCAAACTCGATTCATACCTCGCTCTTGCCAGACCCGTTTCAAGTACAAAATGGTGCTGCACTTATGGTGTGTAGTTGCCATGGTAAAGTAGAAAGTAGGTGCTTAGTTTCAGTACAGTAATAGACGTGCCTGTTCCAAAGTCGGCAATCCCAAACCTAACACGTGGACAACGAAATCCGTCGAGGTACACGTCACCTCACCCAGACATCCCCGGGGTTGCGCTTCGGCTTTCCATCTGCTCCGTCAGCCCATCCTCCCTTCCTTCAATTCCCTGCATCAGTCACCTCCTTCCACGTTTCTTATTAGGCGCTGGCGACTAGTCGTCAGTTTCAGACATATTTCGTCAGTCGAACCAGCGTGGGCATTTCGCCGTGTCAGCCATTCAGGTCACTCTGTCTGGCATCAGGCGGCCTATCCCTCACACTTTCTTGTCGCTACGGCCTGACTTCCCAGAGCAAAGCCTGCCTGTAGTAATTCCGGAACAATGGCTGCCACCTCGGGATTGTCGACCGCAGTTTCCGTTCCCGCCAAGCTCAGCCACGTGGCATCCTCCAGCAACGGCATCTCAGGCACCGCGACCTCCGTCGCTTTCCCAACCTCGAAGCGAGCGGTTCGTGCGGGATCGAGCGTGGCGGAGGGGCGCGGGAACTGCCGATGCTCGACGGCGGAGATTCTCCACGATGGCGCGCGGGATCCGCTGCTGCTGCGCGTGGCGCGCGGAGAAGGTCAGTCATCCGCGCGATGCATGTGATGGTGACTTCCCGTGCCACTATATGCGAGTCCATGCGGCTGAGCGTGGTGGACTATAAGGAACGCTGCGTGTCTAAGCCTGGTAGCATTCACGACCTCGCGAAGCAGTCAGTCAACCAGCTCGTCGTTGTCGCAGAAATTCGCACCCCATCAATGGTACAACGAATTCGCAGCCAATCAGCTCGTCGTGGTGGTGTGTGGTGATGCGCGGTGCCGTGAGGTGTGGGGGGGTTACGGGAAGCGGGGTTAGATGGTTGCCGGTGCATGTGGGTGCATGTGGGTGCGTGTGAGAGCGTGTGAGCGCGTGTGATTGATCGTGTGTTCATGTGACTACATGTGTGCGTGCGCGCGTGCTTGTTGCGCCCCCCGTGGTGCGTGGCAGACGCGGAGAGGACGCCCGTGTGGCTCATGCGCCAGGCGGGGCGCTACATGAAGGACTTCCGCAAGTACGTGCTTCCCCCCTCCCCTCCCCCCCGCCCCCTCTCCGCAAGTACATGCTTCCGCCCCCCCGCGCTCCCCCCTCTCCGCACGCCTTCTTTCCGAACCCAGTACCGCCGTCACAACGAAACAATTCTCCTCCCTTCACAACCCTTCCTCCCCCCTCGCCGCCGGTTCCCATCCCTGTTCCACGTGTCCCGTTGTGTCCCACGACTGAGTTCCCGCTGTAATTCGAACAGTTTCGCTCCCGCATCCTTTCAAATTCTCCCAACTAGTTCCGTTCTGCACCGCCCTGAGTATAACAAACATCCCTCGCACCCCCTGTCCCCACCGCGTATCACGTGGGCGCGCGCGCAGGTTCGGACAAGTACCCGTTCCGCAACAAGCATTTTTCGCTCCACTTTCCTCCCCCCCACCCCGTTCCCCTGCCTCCCCCCCCCCCCGCGCGCAGGTTCTCGGACAAGTATCCATTCCGCATGCGATCGGAGACGGCGGAGATCGCGATCGAGCTGACGCTGCAGCCGTGGAAGGCGTTCGGCACGGACGGCGTCATCATGTTCTCCGACATCCTCACCATCCTGCCCGCTCTCGGGGTGGAGTTTGATATGGTGAAGGGCAAGGGGCCCGTCATTGCGGATCCTCTTCGCACGGCTGCGGACCTGCGCGACCTCAAGTGAGTGGTGGGGAACAGTAAGGGGAGAGCATTGCCCGTTGGGCACGGACGGCGTGATCATGTTGTCCGACATCCTCACCATCCTGCCCGCCCTGGGCGTTGAGTTTGATATGGTCAAGGGCAAGGGGCCCGTCATTGCGGACCCGCTGCGCACCGCGGCGGACCTGCGCGACCTCAAGTGAGTTGTGGGGAAGAGGGGGAGACGGGGAGAGGGGGAGAGGGGGAGAGGGAGAGAGGGGGAGAGGACCATTCGAGAGGGGGAGAGGAGGTGCTCGGGAAGGAAGGAAGGAGGGAGGGAGGGGGAGAACGAGGGACTCTGGTGAATTTGCATGGGAAAGGAGGGAACGACAGGGGGGGTATTGGGCGTTGGGCACGGACGGCGTGATCATGTTCTCCGACATCCTCACCATCCTGCCCGCCCTCGGGGTGGAGTTCGACATGGTCAAGGGCAAGGGGCCCGTCATTGCGGACCCACTGCGCACTGCGGCGGACCTGCGCGACCTCAAGTGAGTGGGGCGAAGGGGGAAGGGGGGAGAGGAGGGGACGAGGAGGCGGAGAGGGGGGGAGAGAGGGGAAGAGGGAGGAAGCCGGGGGCCAGAGGAGGATGACAGGAGGGTGGAAGGAGGGTGATGGGGGATGAAGGGAGGAGAAAGGAAGGGAGGGGTGAGGTGGGGAGCCTTCCTGTATGGAGATTGAAACGACAGAGTGAAGTGGACTTGTTGATGCTAATGCCCCTGGCAGCACGGCTCGGAGGGACCTTACATGAGATTGATGAACGGGAATGGAGGGTGAATAGAGGGTGGGGGTGAATGGAGGGAGAATAAAGAGAGAATGGAGAAGCGGGCGCGAATGGGTAGGCAATAAGGGCGGACAAGCAAGAGGACTGGCGGGGTGGGTGAGTGGGTGGGTGGATGAGGGCAGGTGGGGCCAATAGGAGACAAGCAGAAGAGACATGGAGGAAATGGAACAGTGGGCGGGAATGGAAAGACGTCGTGGTTCAACAAGCATGCAGGAAATGCACAGAGCATGGTGCAATGCCACGCTCACATGTGCCGAGACCATGTGATCATGCACAAGCTTACAAGCTTGCAAGGTTGCACAAGCTTACAAGCTTGCAAGGTTGCACAAGCTGAGTCCGACGAGAAATGCACTTGAAAGCACTTGGCCTCGGTGAGGCACCTCGCCTCACCACCCCACCCCTTCCTTTCCTGCTCTGTTCGCCCCCCTCGCCCCCCTCGCCCCCCTCGCCCCCCTCGCCCAACACACAGGCCCCTGGAGGACCCGGACTTGAAGCTGCCGTTCATCCGGGAGATCCTCATGTCGCTGCGGCGAGAGCTGGCGGGCAGCGAGGCCCTGGCAGGAAATGCCGTCACTTGGGCAATTGTCTTCCTCCTTGTCCTCCCCCACTGGCAGGCCCCTGGAGGACCCAGATGCCAAGCTGCCGTTCATCCGGGAGATCCTCATGTCGCTGCGGCGAGAGCTGGCGGGCAGCGAGGCCCTGGCAGGAAATGCCGTCACTTGGGCAATTGTCTTCCTCCTTGTCCTCCCCCACTGGCAGGCCCCTGGAGGACCCAGATGCCAAGCTGCCGTTCATCCGGGAGATCCTCACGTCGCTGCGCAGGGAGCTGGCGGGCAGTGAGGCGACGCTGCTGGGGTTTGTGGGCACGCCGTGGACGCTGGCAGCATACGCCATCGAGGGGCAGGGCAGCAAGAACCTGCTCGCCACCAAACACATGATGCTGCACGGTCAGTGTGATGGTCACTCCTGGCGGCTTGCACATGCAGTGGCTGGCTGGCTGGCTGGCTGGCTGGGCTTGTGGGTACATGTGGAGGGTGGGTGCGGTGAGCCGACTGACTGGTTCCGTATAGCCATCATTGCACAGCAATGCTGCCATGCTTCCCTGCCTTCATGCTCCCATGCCTCCCTCTCCTCACCCCTCTCCCAACCTTCGCACCACCTCTCTCAGAGCCGGAGTTGCTGCACGGCATCCTGGCAGCGCTGGAGGACTCGTTGGTCTACGTGAGCCACCTGAATGCCTCCATGCCCCCGTGCTTCCCTCTCCCCACCCCCCTGTCCAACTCCTCTCAGAGCCGGAGCTCCTGCATGGCATCCTGGAGGACGCGCTGGTGGTGTACGTGAGTGAGCCACCTGCACACGCCACTCATCTTCCATGCCTCCCTGTCCCTGTGCCTCCATGCCCCCATGCGCCCCTCGCCCCACCCCTCTCTCAGAGCCGGAGCTCCTTCACGGCATCCTGGCTGCCTTAGAAGATGCACTGGTCGTCTACGTGAGCCACCAGATCAGCTGTGGGGCGCACATCGTGCAGCTGTTTGACTCGTGGGCGCACCACCTCACGCCCGCGCAGTTCGCCGAGTTCAACCTGCCGTACGCCGAGCGCATCGTGCAGCGCGTGAGGCAGCTGCACCCGCACACGCCGCTCATCTTCCATGGGAATGGCGGGACCGGCAAGCTGCATCTGGTGCAGCAGGGGTGCAGTGCGGACGTGGTGGGGCTGGACTGGGGCACCGATATGGCTGAGGCCAGGCGTGTGTTTGGCAGTGATACCGTGCTGCAGGTGAGAGGGGTGGTGGGGGGGCAGCTTTAAAGGCGTCTCATAACCGGCAAGCTGCACCTGGTGCAGCAGGGGTGCAGTGCAGACGTGGTGGGGCTGGACTGGGGCACTGATATGGCTGAGGCCAGGCGGGTGTTTGGCCATGACACCGTGCTGCAGGTGAGGGGGTCATGCCTGGCATGAATTTGATTTGCAGAGTGTGCATTTGCCCTTGTTTTTGTGTTTGCTCTTGTGTTTCATTGCTGTCACTCAGTCAGAATGTATCTTCTCCACATTACATCCTACTCTGTGCCCCACCGCCACACCCCATCCCCCTCACCACCCTCCTCCCAACCCCTACCCCCCTCGCGCTACCTTCCAATTTAATTGCTCTTCAGGGGAACGTGGACCCGATGGTTCTGTTTGGTCCCGAGGCATCCATCAGAGCGGCTGTGGCTGATTGCTTGAGCAAGGCAGGGGGCAGGAGGCACATTCTCAATGTGGGGCATGGGGTGGTGCAGGGGACTCCTGAAGAATCTGTGGCACTTTTCTGCAAGCTTGCACAGGAGAGTGGGCGGGCAGCACAAGGTGCCGAGGCAGCTGCAGCTGTGCATTCAACTGCATGAATGACCAAAGGGATAATGCAATTCAGTTATGTTTTCTATTTCAATGTAGAGAAATCATGCTCCTAAATCCATTTTGTAGCCACCTACATGAGAGTCAGGGTGATCAATGAGAGTTAAGATGTGTTGAAAAATGGAAGGGCATTTGTTTTTGAACCATTTTTGCTCCCTTCCGTCTAGAAATATGGTTGGAAAAAAAGTATTGTATCCACATAATTCCCTTATTGCAATTTTGAAAATATCGTTTGAGCGACGAAAGCACCCCGCGATACCAGGTGCATCTCGCACAGCTCGGATGACCCTTCATTGGTCTTCGGCTATCCTTAGACCTTTTGGTTCCGTTCGATTGGCTCACAGGAATTGGCGGCATGGCTTCTGCGAGGTCAGGTCCATCTCTGATTGGCCAGCCAAGATAGGCCTGGAATGTTGCTTTCCAAGCGTCATCCACAACGGCCCCAGGCAAACGGGGTCAGCAGCGCGGAGATTGAGGGGGTGTCCTGGGATTCCTGCTGAGCCTGCGCATTTGTTATCAGGAGCATCTCATTTCCCACCTGTCATCTGCAAACTCTTGTTGTACAGGCAGCACTTGACCTCCACTCTCCGCCGAACTCCTCCCAGCCACGCCTGACCAGCAAAAATCACGCAATGGCCGCCGTCGCCTCTTCCTCTGCTGTCCGCGTGGCTGCCGTGTTCGGCGCCAAGAACCAGAAGCTCAATGCCAAGAGCTTCGCCGGCTCTTCCCTCGCCGTGAAGGCCGCTCCCGCGCGCCTGACCATGGCCGCGGAGGCCCCCGCCGGCTTCTCCCCCCCGGAGCTGAAGTCCGACACGCCGTCGCCCATCTTCGGCGGCAGCACCGGCGGTCTTCTCCGCAAGGCTCAGGTCGAGGAGTTCTACGTGATCACGTGGGAGGCCAAGAAGGAGCAGATCTTCGAGATGCCCACCGGCGGTGCCGCCATCATGCGCGCGGGTCCCAACCTGCTGAAGCTCGCCAGGAAGGAGCAGTGCCTCGCGCTCGGCACCCAGCTGAGGACAAAGTTCAAGATTAACTACCAGTTCTACCGCGTGTTCCCCAGCGGCGAGGTGCAGTACCTGCACCCCAAGGACGGCGTGTACCCCGAGAAGGTGAATGCTGGCCGCGCCAACGCCAACGTGAACCTCCGCTCCATCGGCAAGAACGTTGATCCTGCTGTTATCAAGTTCACCTCGAAGAGGGCTATCGACTTGTAGATGCTCTACATTGTAAATAGCCTTCCAATCAGTCGATGATACACGGTTTTGTTCCTTGCAGTATCTCAATATTACTTAGTTTCCCCCATTTATATTTCGCAAGCGTACCTTGCCGAATGTTGTAGTGAGCATACAAGCAGAGCTTTTTGATCAGGGCATCACAAATGCAACTAAAAGTAATATGAAGCCATGAAAAAACCTTCCTAAATGTAGGACGTCAATCATACGGATTTAGTAGCCATGTTTTCTCTTCAAACGGTTAGTGATGCGTTATTTCAACAAATGAACGTTGATTATCTGTGGACACAAAAGATGGAAGCGGTAATGCGCATCGACGAGGACATGCACTCAAAGTAAAACTCTAATCGACAACCCACTCCACAGCATGCATGGCTCGCGGTAGCACCTCAGTGCCGTTCTGGCAGCAGCTACAAGGTGGGTGTCCGTCAGCGCATCGGGAAACCAGACCACGATGCGCATGAAAGCATGAAAGACTAGTAGGCAGTCCCGAGCGTCCGTCTGATTGTCGCATCTCGTAGCGCGTCCAAATACCACGTGGGCCGACCGATAAGTGTTTCTGTCAGCAGCCTGAGGCACCCTGTCCTGATCATCATGTCTGTCGTTGCTGTCTCGCGCAGTACCCAATGGGCTCGTGCCACGTGTCGGCCACAGCGCGACGCTCGTCGGCAGCTGCATGTACGTCATGGGCGGGCGACTGGCGAATCGCACGCACGCCAACGACGTCTGGCTGTGCGACCTTTCCGCTTGCGAAGACGTCGCAGGACCTACTTGCGACGGGAGCGAGACGGGTTGCAAACCGGGAGCGGGACGAAGTGGGGTAGGAGGAGCGGAGGGAGGAGGAGGAGGAGGAGTCAGATGGGAGTTAATTAACGAGCACGCGCCGTTCTCCCCGCGAGCCTATCACAGCGCGACTCTTGTCGGCGAGTGTGAGATCTGGGTGGTGGGCGGCAGCGACGAGCGCGCCGTGAAGCACGACGTGTTCGCCTTCAACACGCGCACCCGGGAGGTGCGCGCGCGAGGGGGCGAGGGGAGAGGTGGGGACATTTGGGGAAGATGCGCAGAAGGGGGAAAAGTGGGTCCATGGGAGGAATATGGGCGCACAAGGGAGGTGCCACGGGGCAGAGAGGCGCGCAAGGGGGGGAGTCCGCTCATAGGGGAAGAGAATGGGAGCGCAGTGGGGGAAGGGGGGGGAAAGGGTGGGCATGGGAAGGAGGGGGCCGCGTGGGTGGTTAGAAGGTGCGCTGTAAGAGGTGAGTGTGCATACAGTGCCGTGCTCTTGCAGGAGAGTCAGTCACACCTGCTTGCCACCCACTCATATCACCTCCCCCTCCGCCACCTCCCTCCCCCGTGCTTCACGCCCCTTCTTGCGCCACCCCCCTTCTCGCCCCTCCTCGTCCACTGCACTCCTTCTCCCCCTTCGCCTCCCCCCCCATGTTGTCTCCATTCGTTTTCAGTGGAGGCAGGTTCAGACACGTGGCAGGTATGCAGAGTACCCACGTGTCACACATGCTGCCATGGTGCATCCACAGCATGCCACGTGGCTGCTCATCCACGGGGGATACGGCGGGGACGGACCCACGCTCGAGTTCCTCGATGATCTCTGTGTACTCGATACAGGTAAACTCGCTACAATGCCTTGTGCTGTGCTGTATCAAGCTTTGGAAGCTTGTAGTACAAAACCTCCCCTTCCCCCTCCCCTCCCGGCTCCTTAGTTTTGCAACACAGACACACATCTGGGTTGAATGACCTGCTCTGCGCTGCTCCTCTCCCTCCCCCCCACCACCCTCTCTGCTCTCGCAGCAGCCACCATCTCAACGCAGGCCCCTCCCTCCCCTCTCCTTCCCCTCTCTCCATCTCCGTTCCCCTTGTCTCTTCTATGCCCCCCCCCCCCCCACCGCCCTGGTGCCCTGCTGCTGCGCCAGAGTCGCTGAGCTGGCATGACCTGCGCCCCTCAGGCTCCCCGCCCCCTGCCCGCGGCTACCACTCCATGACAAACCTTGCCGGCCGCGTGGTCATCTTTGGGGGGAAGACCAAGCAGCGGGCGGACAAGGAGCAGCACGGCCTCTGGTGAGGCCCTGACATGCTTCTTTCCCGTGTTCTCTTCAGGTGTTGTTCAGGTGCTTCAGGTGTTCCCTTCAGGTGTCATTCCATGTTTCAGGTGGATTTCATAAGGTGAGCGAGTTACGATAAAGGTCCAGCCAAATCAATGCTAGCATCAGCATCACGCAACTGTAGACAGGCCTAAATGAAGAGTGCTAACCCCTCTGTACACCGCACTGGCGCTCCTCCCCAAACACCGCCCCTCATTCCTCCCCACTGCCCTCTCCACAATCCCACCCTCTCCCTGGTGCCATTCCCCGTCCCTCCCCAGGGCATACGACCCACTAACCAACGTCTGGGAGCAGCCCACGGTGGCAGCAGGGGGCCCACAGGCGCAGCCGCGGTCCAATCATGCGGCGACAGGTGTCGGGGGCGGGATGGCGGTGGTGCATGGGGGGCGCGTGAAGAAGGAGCGCCTCGATGACCTCTGGCGGCTGCAGGTGCGACCTCTTGTGCTGCCATGCCATGCCATGCCATGGCGTGCCATGCACCTGGCCATGACTTCAAAGGATGGCCTGATGAACAAACCCACGTGTCTCTTTCCTCGGCCATGCTCCTTGCTGGCAGGCACACAACATCTCCAAGCCACTCCCAAGCCACTCCCACTTCCACTCCACCTCTTTCTTCCTCATCTCCTTCCCCCACTTGTGTTGTCAGGCCGTGGCCCCACCACACAACACACCACCGCCATCGCCCCCATGCGCCCGTGCCTCTCCACCCATCTCCCTCGCCTGGCACCGCATCGCCACTCTCCCCTCCTCCGCGCCCATGCCCGCCGTGCCTGCATGTGTGGGCGAGGGGGGGAATGACAGAGGCGAGTGGGGGGGGAGGGGGGCGGCAGGGCCGGCAGGGAGGGCGGCGCACTCTGTGGTGCACTGGGGGCGATCACTGTTCCGCTTTGGTGGCTATGGTGGCAACGGTGGGTGTCAGACGTCGCGAGTTGATGCTCTCCATTTCGCTCCGTCTCCTCACCTCCAGCCGCACTCTTCATACCCACCCCATGCCCATTCTCGCATTCAATCACTCCCAATAATCAATTCATTCCCATTGAATCAACAAACCTGTACATCCCCCTCCTCTTCCAACCTGCACACCCTCCTCTTTCCTTTTTTCAACCCTCCTCCTCCCCCCCCTCCTCCTCCCCCCTCCCCCCTTCTCTCCCCAACACACATCTGCATGACCTACAGACCACTCATACGCGGACCTCTTTGCTCTCCGGAACCTTCCTGCCGCCTTCCCAACAACGGCCAGCCAATCACCTGCTGCCACGTCCGCAGGCGAGCATGGGGGAGGAGAGGCTCCAGGCAGCCTGGCAGCTGGCCCAAGACTGCTGCGAGCCAATCGTGGAGCGACACGTGTCACTGCAGGGGTTGCTGCAGACACACGTGGTACAGATGAGTGTGATCGGCCCGTGGCTGTGGGGAGAGGAGGAGGAGGAGGAGGAGGAGGAGGAGGAGGAGGAGGAGGGGCAGGAGGAGTGGTAGCAGCAGGAAGAGTGGCAAAGGTTGGAACATCACCACCTGCAGTGCCAGTAACATTACCAGCAGCAGCAGCAGAAACAGCTGCTGTGGGAAAAGGCGGAGCAGCAGGAGCAGCAGCAGCAGGTGCACGAGTAATGGTGGGTGTGAAGAGGAGAGGAGCAGATGAGGAGAATAGAGGCAGGGCCAAGGCTGCACGTGCCACACGCAATCTTGCTAATGCTGCTGCTGCCACAGTTGCTGCTAGTCCCGCTCTCTTTCGCTCTGGTGCTGATGGCGCTGCTGCTGCTGTTGGCCCCAATGCTGCAGCAGCGGGAGGTGCGAAATCGGCCCCTGTTGCAGCTGCAGCAGCGGAAGCAGCAGAGGTAGTGCTGCCGCACCAGCGGTGGCAGCAGCAGCGGCAGCAGCAGCAGCGGCAGCAGCAGCAGGAGGCAGGGAGCGGGCTCCCGCTGTGGCTCGCAGGGCGACCACAGGGCTGGGGCCATGGCGGGTGGATGGGGGGCGCAATGCAGTGGGGGAGGGCGATGATGGTGTGGCGAGGTGTGGGCGTGGGCCTGCAGAGGAGACAACAGGAGCGAGGGGGTTAGAAGCAGGTGGGACACGAGTGCCGGGAAAGCAGACGCAGCAGAAACAGAAGCAGCAGAAGCAGACGCAGAAGCAGAAGTATCATGAGCAGCAGGTGCAGGAGCAGAGGGAGCAGAGAGAGTGGAAGGCGGTGCAGCGGCAACAGCTGGATCTGGTGGGCGGCGATGTTCGGCGGCTAGTGAGGCAGAGCCCGTTTGCAGGCAGGGAGAGGGGCGGCAGGCGGGGGGAGGAGGGGTCTGGGGAGGTTAGAGAGAGGGGGGGGGAGGGGGTGGGAGCGGAGGGTGATGGGGCGATGGGAGGGGAGGTGAGGGGGATGGGATTGGGGGGAAGGGTGGGGGAAGCAGCAGCGGCAAGGGTTGGGACAGGGAAGGGGGTTGGAGCCGTTAACATTGGTAGGGTGGGTTTGGGTGTGGATAGAGAAAGAGGCTCGGATTCCGAGGCCTCAGGTTCGGAAACAGGTCCGGTGGGTGGGGATGAGAGGGAGAGTGGGGCGAAGAGAAGGAGGATGGATCAAGATCAAGCTCTTGCTGCTGGGGAGAGGAGAGATGGGGAGGAGGGGCATATAAGGGGAGGGGGGGGAGTGGGGAAAGAGGGGGAAGGGGACAGAGGCGCAGAGATGGCGAGAGGGGGGGCAGCTGTGGCTGCAAGGGTAGATGGGGGAGGAGGCGGGGAGGTGGGACGAGGGGGGATGACCTGGGGAACATTGGGGGGAACATTGGGGGGAACATTGGGGGGAACATTGGGGGGAACGTTGGGGGGAACGTTGGGGGGAAGATTGGGGGGAACGTTGGGAGGAACGCTGGGGGAAGCGGTGGGGAGTATGCATGGCAGGAAGAAGAGAGTGGGATGGGGGGAAGTGAGGGGCTGTGAGGGGGGGGAGAGGGTGGGAGACAGTGGCGCAGAGGGGAGGGGAGGCGGGGCAGGCGGGGGAGAGGATGAATGGGGATGCATGGACATGCATGATGGGCGGCATGGGGTAGAGCACATGGCCAGTGAGAGGGCGGGAGGTCGTGAGCAGGGGGGGGAACAAGGGGGGAAGGAGGTGGGTGAGCGTGGGGAGGAGAGATTAGGCATTGGGGGGAGTTGTAGGGGTGGTGCTACTATGAGAGCAGGGGTTGGGGTGATGGGAGGGAGAGGGGTAGCAGGTGGGGCAGTGGGGGCAGAAGAGAGGGGCAACTGGCGCACAGGCAGGGCAGGGGCGGTTGGGGTGGAGCGGTGTGGGGGAAGCAAGGGGAGGGAGGGAGAGGAGGGGAGAGAGGTGGTGAGGGAGCGAGTGGGGGAAGCACAAGGGATAGAGATGGATGGAGTGGGAGAAATCGGAGGAGTGAAGTCGGTGCACGGAACAAAGGAGATGGCAGGCGTGCAGGCGATGGCTACGGGCATGGAGGAGCGGCTGGCATCGCTGGAGCGAGATGCGCTGCTACGAGTGAGATGCATGCATGGCATGACATGACATGGCATGGCATGGCCTGGCTAACCAGCCATATACTGCCTCCCGTTGTTGTGCAGTGCAGCACTGAGTCGTCTGGGCGTGATGTCACCCCTTCTTCTTCGACCCGCCTCCCTCGTGCGTGCTGTGTCTCCCCACCCCCAGGCGGCAATGGAGCAGCAGATTCGGGCGCTTTCACACGATTTTGCAGCCGCCAGGGCAGAGGGGGCAGCAGCGAGGGCGGAGGGCGAGGCAGCGCGGAGGAGGCTGGAAGTTTCTGAAAAGGAGCTCGCAGCAGCGAAGGCAGAGGGGGCAGCAGCAAGAGCACAAGAGATGGCGGCGAGGGCGACATTTGAACGGATGCAGAAGGAGGTAGCAGCAGCGAGGGAGGAGAGGGATGTGGCGAGAGAGTTAGTGCAGCGATGTGAGGGTGAGGTGGCAGCAGCACGGGCGGAGGGGGAGGCGGCGAGGGCAGCAGCGAGAGCGGAGGCGGTGCAGAGGGCAGCGGCAGAGAGGGAGCTGCGTGGAGCTGTGAGCGCTTTGGAAGCTGAGCTTGCACACGCCAAGGCGCAGGTGAGGGACGGGGGAGGCGCAGGTGATATTGCGGGTCAGCGGCTGCTATTGGGTAATGTGGTGGCGGGCAGGGGCAATGGTACATGGACGCTCTCACTTGTGATTCAAGTTTCCTGGTGTGCAATGCACTGATACTAGATGGGCCAGAAATTTATTCACTAATATTAGATCCACTGCTACGCATTGCTGCCCTGTCACTGATTTTCGAGTCGACTAAAAAAAATAGATTCACTAATATTACATCCACTGTTTCGCATTGTCGCACTGGCACCGGGTGCAGTGTGAGGAGGAGCGGCAGCAGAGGGAGGCGGAGTGGCGGAAGGTGGAGGAGCAGCAGCAGCGGGCGTGTGAGCTGGAGAGGCGCGTGGGGGAGGGCGAGGCGAGGCTGAAGCAGCTAGAGGCGCAGCTGGTGCAAGCCGAAGCTGAGGCTCGGGAAGCAGCAAGGTAAGTATGTAGGTCTCCTGGCGTGTGCTAGGCAAGGGGGTGTTGCTGGGCAGGCAGGGTGACCCGTAGCTTGCCTAGTGACCCCCTGCGTGCCTTGCAGTGCATTGTAGCTGTGGAATTCCCACCGTCCCACCGTCCCACCGTGCCACTGTGCCACCCAACAAGCGGCGTCATGCTTCCCTGCGTTGTGCGGTGCAGGAGGGTGAGCAGGCAGCAGCAGGAGGCTGAGACGATTAAAGGGGAGCTGCAGGCAGCACGAGAGGAGGTCAGTGCTGCTGCTGCTGCTGCAGGGCTGCCCTTATCGTGCTCTCACTTGCAGCTCGTCTCATCCCCTGCCTGCTCTACTCCACTCTACTACATCCTTCCCCTCCTCCTCCTCCTGCTCCTCCTGCTCTCCCTGCTCCTCCCGCTTTCATTCTCATCTGTCAGATGCTACTGTTACCCTCATCTCGGTTCAAATCAACTTCCAACCCCCATCCCTCCCGCAACCCCCCACACCTCCCGTTTCCTGTTTTTCAATCATCTTCTGCCAGCTGTCGTCCCTGCATGCTGAGGTGGCATCGCAGCGACGTGCAATGGATTCCATGAAAGCCTCCCATGCTCAGGTGAAAACAGCAGAGGGTCAGGTAAATCGAAACGATTAATAATGAAAGCAGCAAAGTATCAGGTGAGAACTGATGCTTGGCATTGATAATGCACATGTGCCACGTAGCTGTTGCTGCACTTGTGTGTACATGCATGTGACTTTGGAGTCGACTCAAAAGTCATCTCACATGTGCCACGTAGCTGTTGCAGTGTGTGTAGGTGCATGTTTTTAGCCCTCAAGCCCCTTCCATATTTCATCACAATCCGTCTCTCCTCCCTCTCGCCCTCCCCCTTACGTCCCTTCTTCCCTAATTTCCAGTTGCACCATTTCCTCTCCCAACTCTCCCTTGCCTCTGTATTGCTTTCATACCGCTTTCCGTCCCCTTTTTCCTCCCCTCCTTCCTGCTACCCCTTCACCGTCTGACCAGGAGCAATCCCGAGCAGCCCAGCAGCTTGCGGCAGTGCAGGAACAACTGGGGAAGGTGCAGGTGAGGGGTGGGGAGGGGGAATGCAGGTGAGGACTGGGGAGGGGGGGTGCAGGCACAGCTGGTGGCAAAAGGGAAGCACATGGGAGAGAGAGGGATGGAAGGCGTGGGGTGTTCGTGGAGTAGGTGCGGTGCTGGAAGTGAAGCAGAGGGGGGACGTGTGGAGGGTGGAGGGTGTGTGTGCGCGCGCACGCAAGTGTCTGAATCATTCAGTTTCTGCGCATGAATCCCTCCCGTTCTCTGCTATTATCTTTGTCCGCTTCTCTCGTGTTTCACCCTGCCGTCACCTACCCAATCGCCTCCCCTTTGCCTGTGCCTCCCCTTTGCCTCCCCTCTCGCACGTTTGTTGATTGCTGCAGCAAGAGCAGGAGGAGTTGCAGCGGGCTCTTAGAGACGCCAAGCACCACACCACCCAGGTGCCTCTTCTTTCTCACTTCTTCCACCCAGTGCCTCACCGTGCAAGTGCCTCACCATGCCCCTGCATCAGTTCTCCTGCTCCTCCTTTAACCAATTTTCATCTGTTTCTCCTTGACTCTTTGCTATCCTTACACCCGCCTTGCCTCACACCCGCCGTTTCCGCCTTGTGCAAACGGCAGGTGGAGGCGGAGTGGCAGCAGCAGAAACAGGCAGCGGAGGAGGAGCGGCAAAGAAAGGCGGAGCAGCACAGGCGAGAAATGGAGCAGATTCAAGCGAGGCTCATACAGGTGGCGTCTGGGGAAGCGTTTTGGGGTGAAAGATGAAGGGTTGTGGGGGGTTTCAGCTTCCGATGGGGAGAGGCTGGGGAGAATTTCAGAGTGAGGTGGAGCCCAGGGAAAATCTCAAAACGGGGTCTTCTAGTACAGGACGGAGGGCTGATGCGGGTCTTCAGGTTGAGAGGGGAGGGCCAATGGGGGCACTAGACCAGGGTCGTTAAGTGTCACTTCTGAGAAATCTCAAAAGCGACAGAAACGGGGTTGCTGAGTGTGCTTGTGTTGTCAGCCCATCGCGTCATGCTGACGTTTTCCCACCACCTTCCTTCCCTCCTCCGCTCCTGCTCACCTGCCGTTGCAACATTGCCCCCCTCATTGCCCCCATGCCCTTGCGTTGTGCCCCCATGTTCCCCATTGCCCCATCCCTCATACCTTTCATTTGCCAGGCTGTGGGTCAGAAACAGTGTGCAGAGCAACGCCTGGAAGATTCCAGGAAGCAGGCTGATGAGCTCAGCGAGCGGGTCAAGCAGGTAGGCCAAAAGCATAAGGAAGGGCCTTTTGGACCGGTAAGCGGCCTCTTCTCTGGGAAGGTAGAGTTTGGATTTGATGAGCTGCCCGCTGCCCGCTGCTCCCTTGTCCACCTATCCTCCTCTGACCTGTCCATGTGACATCCTCCCTTGGCTGTATGCATCCCGCGTTGCATGGCAGGTGGAGCAGCGAGCAGAACAGAGGTGACTTTTGAGTCGACTCAAAAGTCACCCCGCTGCTCCCTTGTCCACCTATCCCCCTCTGACCTGTCCATGTGATGCTGTATGCATCCCGCGTTGCATGGCAGGTGGAGCAGCGAGCAGAGCAGCATGTGGCAGCAGCACAGCAGTGGAGGCAGACAGAGGCACGGCTGCAAGCGTCTCTCCTTAAAGTAACACCCTTTCTGCCCTTCAGACGTTGGCATCGCTTCTTCTTGGTTTTGTTGCTCCACTCTTCCTTCGCTTGTTACATCCTTGTTAATCCCCCCTCTCTATGTTAATGGAGCAGTGTTCGTACGTTGGCCTCACTTCCCCCATTCCGCTGCCCTCACTCTCCCCCCCCTGTGCGGTGTGGGCTGGTACTGCCATCAGGTGAAGCTGGAAAGGCAGAGGCTGCAGACTCAGGCCGACACACTCAGGTGTGCTTCTCTGCCTCTTTGCCCCTCCTATCATTGTACCTGTAAGGCCCTCACCCTGACTACCTCTAACTCTTGGAGGCTTTGACAGTTCCGTTGAGTAACTTGAACAACTGTCCCCTCTGGTGCATAAAAGACCTTAACTAACAGCCCTTCTTTCTGCCTGTCTTGTGTTGTGTTGCCCCTTGTGTTGTGTTGCCTCTTGTTTTGTTCCTTCTTGTGCTGTTGGCTCTTTTGCTGTCGCCTCTTTTGCTGTCGCCTCTTTTGCTGTTGCCTCTTGTGTCTGTGGTGTTCCCAGGGCGCACCTAGCACAGCACCAGGCAGTGCAGCAGCAGATGGAGAGCAGCTGGCAGCAGCTGCGGGGCAGCACTGACACGCTCTCTGCCCTGCTGCGCTGTAACACCACCACTGCTGGTAACCCTACTGGATTAGGGGAACGACATGGTAGTGATGATGATGACGGTGGTGGTGCTGGTGGTGGTGGGGTTGGTGGTGGTGGTGGCGGTGGTGGTTGGGTGAATAGAGGGAGGCAGCACAGGGAGCAGCAGTAAGCAATGGAGGGAGGGGATAACTGGTTGTTACCACATGGGGATGAGTTTGACCAGCACCAGCAGGGGCGGGTGCAACAGCAGGGGCAAGAGCAGCAGCAGCAGCAACGGATAGGGCAGGTGCAGGGACGAAGGCACATGCAAGCGGGAACGGAGGTGCAAGGGAGAAAGCAGCAGGCTGTGTTGGCACTGCTCCACGCCCCTCCTTCCCCACAGCACCTGCCGCGCCAGCAGCAGTCAGCGGCACATGCACACCAGCAGCAACAGCAGCAGCAGCAGCAGCAGCAGCAGTCAACGGCACAGGCACACCAGCAGCAGTCAGCGGCACAGGCACAAGGAGCCCCGGAGCAGGCAAGGCATGTGGCACGTGGGGGGCACGCAGGTGCGGCGCTGCATGGAGGGGCCACCCCCCACTGCCTCCATGCTGCCACTGCCCATTCACCCCCCCCTACTGCCCGGCACCATGTGTTCCGCCCTCCCTAATTGCCGTTTGAGACGTCTCAAAAGGCGCTGCATGGAGGTGCCACCCCCCACTGCCTGCATGCTGCCGCTGCCCACTCACCCCCCCCTACTGCCCGCCACCATGTGTTCCGCCCTCCCTAATTGCTGTTTGAGACGTCTCAAAAGGCGCTGCATGGAGGTGCCACCCCCCACTGCCTGCACGCTGCCGCTGCCCACTCACCCCCCTCATCTGCCCGCCACTTGTTTCACCCTCCGTAACTGCTTGAGGGTACACGTAGGAGAAATAAATATACCGTACCTAGAGCATTTGAAGGTGTCAAGAATAGAACTAGGAATGGATGATTGAACTAGGCAAGAGGTGAGTACAAGTAGGGGAAAGCTAACCCTAAAGTGTTGTACTCACTAAGGAGTGACCCTACTGTAGCCTAGAGATACAATTGCAATTTGACACACCCCCATAGGCAAAGTAGGGGATAGCAAACACAACAAGCGGTCACAAGACCAGTCTGCAGAAGAGAACACAGTCCAGGGTGGATCACAAAGTCACCACGCTTTCTGAGCACAAGAAAGTGGCCACAAGGCCAGTTCACATGCAGAGGTATATAATAGCAAGGCAGTACACTGATCACAACCTAGCAAGAGAAAACATGCAGGTATAAAGATATATAGCAGTGTACAGCAAGAACAAGTCAAGCAACCAGCAGGTGAGGCAGAGTGGGCACAAGCCCAAGAGCAGTGCAGAAACGCTGATGATCACCAGCCCCAAGGGCCTTGGTGAAGACATAAGCAGTGTTGGCCCGAGAGGCCACGTAAGCAAGGCGCAGCTGACCACGCTGCTGCAGCTCACGCGCAAGGAAGTAGCGAAGAGCAATGTGCTTCGTTCGGTGCTCCAGTCTCTGCTCGCGACACAAGGCAAGCATTGCCTTGTTGTCGACGTACAGAACTGGAGGAGAACGAGGCCGCTCCCCCAAGTCGGTCAGCAGGTAGGTCAGCCAGCGGAGCTCCTGTGCAGCCATGGCCCTAGCGTAGATCTCGGCCTCACAGCTGGAACCAAGCACAGAAGAAGAACGAGTGGACCTCCACGAGACAGAACCAGCGCCAAGACTGAAGGTGTAGCCCTGTGACGAACGCTGAGTCGCCTGGTCGTCGGCCCAAGAAGCGTCAGAGTGTCCTGTGAGGACCATCGAACCCCGTCCTCCAAGCACGAGCCCCATGCCCGATGTGCTGCACAATTAACGCAGTACCCTCTTCGCAGCATCAAAGTGCACATTTCGGTGCCTACCGGGTGCCACGTAGCGAGCCAGAAGGCTGAGAGGGTACGTGAGGTCAGGTCGTGTGCACGTCATCAGGTACATGAGGCAGCCCACAAGCTCTGGGTACGGACCACTCGGCTCTACGGACTCGTCCGAAGGTGGAGCTGAGAGCGAGTGGCCGGTAGCCAGAGGAGTGGGCTATGGCGAGGAGTACGTGAAGCGGAAGCGCTGAAGGACCTGGTGCACCATGTGTGACTGAGTGAGGGTGATGGTGCGCCGTGGTCTGTCCCGGGTGATCTGCAAGCCAAGATAGCTCCGCAACTCACCCAGGTCAGTGCAGGCGTGTCTCTCCTGCAGCTCCGCCTTCACTAGGGCCAGTGCCTCAGTGTCAGCAGTAGCAAAAACCAAGTCGTCGACGTACACGAGGATGTAGAACGGCGGCAGAGTAGTGTCGGTGCGTAGAAACAGCGACGGGTCAGCAGTCGAAGGAGCAAACCCAAGAGCCGCAAGTGTCGTCCTCAGTGTGTCGTGCCACTCACGGGGCGCCTGACGCAGGCCGTACACTGGTCGCCATAGGCTCCACTGGGTACCCTCAGGAAACGACCCAGTGAAGCCCTGTGGACGACGCAACCAGATGGCCTCGTGAAGGCTACCCTGCAAGAAAGCTGTCGAGAAGTCGAGGGAGTGCAGCTCGTAGTCACGCTGAGCTGCAACGTGTAGCAACACCCGAAGAGTGGTCATCTTCGGGGTGGGGGAGAAGGTCTGAAAGAAGTCGACCCCCTCACGCTGACTGAAGCCTCGAGCAACGTAACGTGCCTTGAAGGCAGGCGGAGAACCCGGCGGCCGCTTCACCCTGAAAATCCACATGCCACTGACGATGTTCGCCCCAGGTGGGGGAACCTCGTCGACGTAGGTGCCTGTGGACTTCCAGGAAGCCATCTCTGCGTCCATGGCTGTCTGCCACTAAGAGGAGTACTCACCCGAAATCGCCTCCCTGTAGGAGCGCGGGGTGGGGATGTCAAGTGCATCCGGGTCTCCCTCAGGGGCAAGCAGCATGGTTGCGTGATGGGGTGAAGCGGCAGCAAGGCACTCCAGCTCCTCCTGTCTGTCCTCAAGAACGTCACAGCCAAGGGCAGTACAGCCAAGAGCAGTCTCACCCCCGACGGACGCAGGACAGGCAGGGACAGGGTCAGAGACAAGACTCGCAAGGTAGTCTAGGCGGTACACAGCAGCAAAGTCAACGAGCTCAGCTACGAGGGCAAACGCAGCAGGAGACGAGAACGTAGGGTCCGTCACAACCGTAGCAAGAAGGCGAGTAACAGTCGGACTGGACGCACGAGCAAGGTCAGACGGAGGGTCAGCAACGTCAGGCAGAGAGGACGCAGGAGGTAACGGTAGGGCAACACGCTGAGGAACAGAGGAAGGACGGAGTGTCATATCGTGAGTGCCGGGGACAGCCGGAGCACGCTGACGACGAACACGAGGAACACGAGCACGGACAGCAGCTCTAGGCTCAGGCTCAAGGTCAAAGCTAGACACAGGCTCTCGACGCTCAGGGGTGGACGCACGAGTCTCAGGCTCTCGACGCTCAGTCAGGGACTCTGACACCGCAGTGTAAGGAGCAGGAGCAGGCAGTGGGGAGTGTGGTAGCAGCGGTGGCTGTGACTGGTCCGCCGGTGGACACAGCAACGGAGGAGTAGTACCTGCCACAGGGAAGCCAGTAGCACCTGGCGGAAGACTGAGAAGGTGGCAAAGAGCACCAGTAGCTCCCGTACCTCCAGCACGAGCAGCTCCTCCAGTACCCCCAGCAACACCTCCAGCACCAGTAGCACCAGCACCTCCAGTACCACGAGCTCCGACAGCGCCAGCACCTCGAGCACCAGTAGTACCTCTAGCACCTCCAGTGCCTCCAGCTCCAGTAGCACCTCCTGCACCTCCAGCACCAGCAGTACCGCCTGCTCCGGCAGCTCCAGCACCTCCAGTACGAGCACCTTCGGGACCAGTAGCTCCAGCACCTCCAGTACCTCCAGCTCCAACGCCTCTAGCACCAGCAGCACCCGCAGCTCCAGCACCAGTAGCACCAGCACCTCCAGTGCCAGTAGCTCCAACACCTCCAGTAACAGTAGTACCTCCAACACCAGCAGCTCCAGTACCTCCAGCTCCAGTACATTCAGCACCGGCAGCACCTCCAGTACTAGCACCTCCAGTACCTCCAGCACCAACAGCAGCTCCAGCACCCCCAGCACCAGCAGCTCCAGTACCTCCTGCACCAGCAGCACCTCTAGTACCTCCAGTAGTACCTCCAGCACCTCCAGCACCAGCAGCACCTCCTGGACTAGTAGCTCCAGCACCAGCAGGACCGTACCCTCCACCACCAGGACTGCCTCGCAGAACGACCCACGCACGAATCGCCTGCAGCAAGAGCGTCTCAAGTAGAGCAGGCTGCGGTGGCTGTCCAGCTCCAGTACCTCCACTAGTGGTAGCTCTAGCACCTCCAGCACTAGAAGCACCTCTAGTACCTCCAGCTCCAGCACCTCCAGCGCTAGCAGCAGCTCCAGTACCTCCAGCTCCAGGACCTCCAGAAGGACTCGCAGCACCCCCAGAGTTAGCACCCGAAGTCTCAGCACCCCCAGAGTCAGCACCCAAAGTCGCAGTACCCTCAGTCCCAGCACCCTCAGTCTCAGCACCCTCAATCCCAGCACCCTCAGTCCCAGCACCCTCAGTCTCTGCTCCAGTGTCCACAGCAGTAGGCTGCAGAGGCGGCGAAGACGGCAGAGGTGGGAACCCGGGAGGGGTAGCCAGACGAGGAGAGCGGGCACCCCCAGACTCACCACCCCCAGTCCCAGCTCCAGTAGTATCAGCTCCAGAGTCCACAGCAGCAGGCTGCGGAGGCGGCGAAGACGGCCGTGGCGGGAAACCCGGGGGGGTCGCCAAGCGAGGAGTGCGGCGAGTGGTCGCCGTGTCGTCGGCGACGGCGTCACCCCCCTCAGGTGAGTCAGAGGAGTCAGAAGAGATCTCAACTGGCTCATCCAAGGGGGGTGGGTCTACCTGGGACACACCTGAGGGAGAAGGACCCTGTGGGGGGAGGGGGTCTACCGGGGGGGGGACTGGTACCAGGAAGAGGGGTGCAAGGGGGACCGGGTGGGACGCGTGCGGGTGAAGTCGGTAGTAACAGACCGACTCGTCGAAGGTGACGTCCTGAGAGGACAGAACACGACGCGAGGCAGGCTGTCCCGTCCAACGGAGTGTGGGCGAGGTCTCTGGAGCAGAGACACGGGGCCAGAGGTTGAGCTGATGCGCGGCGTATCGGACCGCAAACGGCCACAGGAAATGGGGAGCAGCCGCATGGATCATGGAGGTACGAGCAACCTCCATGATCAGGCCAATGCGACGCTCAGCGATCCCATTTTGCTGCGGAGAGGCCGGAAGCGTGAACGACTGGGCGATGCCCTCATCCTAGCAGAACGTCTCAAGGACGCCATAAGAGAACTCACCACCCCTGTCAGAGTGCAGACGTAGGACTGGGAAGTCCTGCTGAAAGCGCTCGTGTAGCTGGAGACGAGTAGCACGGATCCAGGGGATCAAAACACCGCTGACGTCCGCCTTGCGACGCAAGGGGAAGACTGTGGTGTAGCGTGTGTAGTCGTCAACAACCAGCAGGAAATAGCGTTCCTGGTCCGTCCCACCGACGGGGCCGGGCCCCACACGTCCAGGTGGAGAGTCTGCAGAGGAGCAGTGGTCGGAGGAAACTCGGAGGAGTGAGGAGCGGCGCGCTGCCGCCCCTCGACGCAAGGAAGGCACGGCGGCGCAAGTGAGCGCGGGAGGGGGGGCAGGGTCTCAGGGAGGCCAGAGACCAGGAGCCGGGAGTGCATGCCGCGCAGACGCTGCAGGGAGGGGTGACCAAGACGGTGGTGCCAGCGCTGAGTCTCGTGCGTGAGTACTCTGCACGAGCAAGACGCAGCTAACTGCCCTGACGCAGACGCTCGACTCGACGCAGCTACCTGACCTGACTCAGCCACCTGTGCAGACGCAGTGGTCAGTGTGTACAGACTAGACCCAGGCTGTCGAGTGAACGTAGCTAGGTGACGGCCAGTCCGGGAGCACGTACAGATCGCCACACGCTGCCCTCCAGGAATAAAGGTATCAACCCAGACATCCTGAATGGCAGCGTTGCTCACCAAGTTCGTCGAGAACGTGGGGAGGTGGAGACCTGACAAAGAGCCGGAGGGGACTGCTGGACAAGGGAGGACCGTGGGGGCTCTCGCAACCACTGGGCACCCAGAGGGGTCAGCCAGTGAGACTGGGACAGGTGCTGTGAGTGGTGTGACTGTGGTGCAATCACGAAAGAAGCAACGTGACGCGCCTGTGTCAAGCGTGAAAGTGTGCAAGACCTCATCTGAGGCAGGACCTGTGGTAGTAGACGCACTAGCACCTAGAGCCTCGGTAGACGCACGGGCATCTAGAGTTGCAGCAGACTCACTAGCACCTGGAGCGGCAGCAGACTCACTAGCACCTAGAGCAGCAGTCCTAACAGAACGATAACCTCCACCACCAGGACGACCTCGCTGAATAACCCACTCACGAAGCTGCCGAGGGGTGGGGTCGTCCGGGAGAAGCAGTGCCCGCTGCTGTCCACCCCTGGCCGCAGCAACTGCCGCGGAAGTGGCCATGACAGACAGTGACAGTCAGGAGTAGGTCCAGCACCTCCAGCTCCTACAGCGCCAGCAGCACCTCCTGCACTCCCAGCAGCACCTCCACCACTCCCAATAGCACGAGTAGCAGCAGCAGCAGTAAGAGCAGCAGGGCGGCGCGCGGCCAGAGCAGGGCGGCGCGCGGCCATAGCAGGGCAGTAGTAGGCAGTAGCTCCTAGGGCAGAAGCACCTAGGGCCCCTTTTTTTTTTTTTTTTTTTTTTTTAAATAAACAATTTAATTATATTTAGGGTATAGCAGGGCGCTGGCGCAGGGCAGGGCGCGGGCGCAGGGCAGGGCGCTGGCGCAGGCTGCAGCAGTGCGTGACGCGAGGGGCAGCAGAGCGCGACGCGACGGGCTGCCTTAGGGCGCGACGCGCGCTGCAGCAGAGCGCGACGCGCGAGGCAGCAGCGCGCGACTCGTGGGCTGCGTTAGGGCGCGGGCTGCAGGGGCAGGACGCACGGGCTCCAGGGGCGGTGTGCGGGCTCCAGGGGCGACGCGCGGGCTGCAGGGGCCGCGCGGACGGGCTGCAGAGGCGACGCGCGGCTCGGCAGGTCCGCGCGCGAGCTGTAGGGGCGGCGCGAACGGGCCGCAGAGGCGGCGCGCGGGCTCCAGGGGCGACGCGCGGGCTGCAGGGGCCGCGCGGACGGGCTGCAGAGGCGACGCGCGGCTCGGTAGGTCTGCGCGCGGGCTGCAGGGGCAGCGTGAACGGGCTGCAGGGGCAGCGTGAACGGGCTGCAGGGGCAGCGTGAACGGGCTGCAGGGGCAGCGTGAACGGGCTGCAGGGGCAGCGTGAACGGGCTGCAGGGGCGACGTACGGGCTGCAGGAGCGATGTACGGGCTGCAGGGGCAGCGCGCGGGCCACAGGGGCAGGCGCGGCTGCAGGGGCAGCACGGTAGCAGGGGCGAGCACGGCTGCAGGGGCAGCACGGTCGTAGGGGCGAGCACGGCTGCAGGGGCAACGCGGTCGCAGGGGCAGCGCACGGGCTGCAAGGGTCGCGACAGTGAGAGCTAGGGGTGCCAGCGCGCTGGCTACTGTGTAGGGCGTGGCGCTACCACTAGGCGGAACGGTGGGCCCATGTAGGAACGGTTCCTACTCTGATAACATGTCAAGAATAGAACTAGGAATGGATGATTGAACTAGGCAAGAGGTGAGTACAAGTAGGGGAAAGCTAACCCTAAAGTGTTGTACTCACTAAGGAGTGACCCTACTGTAGCCTAGAGATACAATTGCAATTTGACAGAAGGTGTAACCTGATGTTATACCAAATGTTTAAAAAAACACTGCATGAAGTTGCCAAAGGCCTGCTGGTGCTTTTTGTGCATGTTCTCATAGTGCTGTAAGTACCATCCCTGCCAGCCGGCTCATTGCATGTTGTAGTGGATCCTTTTCAGGGTGCAGTATACTCCTGGTCACGAATACTTTCAACCCCCCTATTTTCATGCCCTATAGCTCACGTAGGTAATTACCCTTGCCTTATCTTTGACCATGGGCTGTTTGGCACACTTTAATGTTTTGGAGTGGGTAAACTTCACAACTCCTCGAACGGTTTCAGTGGCGCAAGTAGATTCACAACAAAACAAACAGGCCCATACGAGCAGTTGTTCAGACTGACAAGTTTTCGACATCAAGCATGAGGCGTCATCCATAGCCCATCTTCTGGGTGCCCGTCCACTTAATAGAGCCGGAAATTGTGCAGGGTGGTGTGGTGTGGTGTGGTGTGGTTTGTCTCTGAAAAAGCGTGGAAAGGCCATGAAATCATCTGTGTCTAGGTGTATGGACATGACATGATGAGATCCATCAAGCGGCTGTTAGCACGGAAACATACAAGTCAACCATACAACCTGGGTCGTTTATTTTCAACACTAGTGCCCGCCTGCCTACCGATCATGGTACCGTACCTACCTAGCCTCAAGCCTGTCAGCCCCTCCCTACAACATTCGGCAACCCCACCTTGTCCTTCTCCTTCGCTGATCAGTGTGGTATTTCTTTTGTACACACACATACCCCCCACGGTCTTCATAAGCAAGGCCATGGTCCTTGTAATGTAGAGTGCAGTCACACAGTACCGAGTACCGAGTAGCGCAGCGTGTGTGTGTGTGGCACTAACGGCGCCCGCTGCTCTTGGCTGTTGAGGCGCCTCAAAAGCCCTCATAAGGTAAGCCAGCCACGGCCACGGTCCTTGTATTGCAGCAGCGTGCGGTGCAGTTTCTTTTCAACAGTAGAGCCGAGCCGAGACGAGTAGCACGGCGCAGCATGAGTGGCACAAAGAACGCCCACTGCTCGCTCTTGGCACGAGCATGGTACCCTCTCTCTGCCGTGGCATCAGTCCGAGCGAGCCAGCAGCCGCACCACTGCCCTGTGCACCCTGCTCTCACTGCTGCTGCTGCTGCTGCTGCCACCAGCAGCATCAGCAGCATCAGCCGCCTGAGCAGCAACAGCACGAGGGCAGAGGTCGACCTGCAGAAGAATGTGAGCTCCGCCCTGCTGCTTGCCCACTGCTGGATGGGGCGTCATTCTGAGCGAGCCAACAGCCGCACCACTGCCCTGTGCACCCTGCTCCCACAGCTGCTGCTGATGCTGCCACTGCCAGCATCAGCCGCCTGAGCAGCAAGGGCACGAGGGCAGAGGTTGACCTGCAGAAGAATGTGAGCTCCGCCCTGCTGCTTGCCCACTGCTGGATGGGGCGTCTGCAGCTGCTGTGCAATGGCTGCTGGTGGTGGGGTTGGGGAGGAAGGGTGTATTGAGGAGGGTTTTGAGTCGACTCAAAACTCATCTGAAAACGAATGTGCGCGCTGCCCTGCTGCTTGCCCACTGCTGGGTGCGGCGTCTGCAGCTGCTTTGGCATGGCTGGTGGTGGTGGGGTTGGGGAGCGAGGGATGATGGAATGCAGCAGCTAGATGTGGTACAAGGGACACTCATGATGAGTTAAGCAGTCTAATCTGACATGACTCCCGAGTCGACTGGAAAGGGACGAAGATATGGAAGGGAGGGCGTGAGTGCGAAAGGTGGGGAAGGAGAGGGAGGGGCGAGTTCTCATGGTGGGAAAGCAGAGGGAGGAGGAGATGCGACTGTAGCGAAAAGAGGCGAGTTCATGAGAACCCTTAAGGTGCCATGCCAACAAACCAGACATTCTCCACTGTTGCTCATGTTACCTTAAGGGTCACGCATCCCTCATTGCCATGCTTGTCAACCCCCCCCTTTACCCCCCACGGCTGCCCTACCTTCCACGTCAACATCTGCTGTGACTGGCTGGTCCCCGATCCGAGCGAACAAATCAGCAACTGACAGCTGGCCAAGGGGTGGGCACCCTGCCGCAGGCGCCTTTGCTGATGTGGCTTCCTCTGATTGGCTGGCAAGGTCCGTCGCTGACGTGGCAGGTGCAGCAGCCATGAGTGCGGCGGTGAGGGGGTTGACCCCAAAGATGGCACAGGCAGCAGCATCCATGCATGTGATGTGCCCCCTGCCGTCCACCTCTATGCGCCCGTCCTGTGGGCTCGCAGATGCACACAGGAACACACGGGCACATGAACACATGGGCAGATAAACACATGGGCATGCGCACACGAGCAAGCGCACATGGGCATGCACACACGGGCATAGATAAACAACTACAGGAATCTCTGCCCCACACACATGCCTGCACAGACATTGCCACAAAGGTCCGCAACCATGCTACAATACCAGACAGCCTGTTTAGTGAGTGAGACAGTCACACTACTGAGTACAGAAACATTCTTTCTGGCCTTTCTTCCTCCCGCTTCTGCCCATCTTCCCCCATCAACCCCTTCTCTCCACACGCACCTGTGCAAGGCTGACCACTCGTCTGCGCAGGTCCCTGCCGCCGTCGTTGCGCCAGTGCATGCAGAAGAGCAGCGAGGCCACGAGCGACAGCAGCGGTTGCACGGCGCGCAGCAGCCCGTGGCTGTACCCGCCTATGCGATTCGCCACCACCGCCACGCCCACGATGGCTGTGCCTGAATGGGAACAAGAGGGACAGCAAGGACAGTAGGGGCGGTGGATGGTGGTGGGCATGGTTCAGTCAACGGCGTGGATGGGTGCACAGCGCGCAGCAGCCCTAGGCTGTACCCGCGTATGCGATTTGCCACCACTGCCACGCCCACTATGGCCGTTCCTGGGGAGAGCAGGGCCAGCAGGGCCAATAGTGTGGTGGATGGTGGCGGTTGTGGTCGAGTGAAGGGCATGGTTGGGTTGAAGGGTGTGCAGACGTGAACGAGACAGTGAACATGTGTCATGCCTCATGCATCCCATGGCCCGTCATGCATCCCATGGCCCGTCATGCATCCCATGGCCCGTCATGCATCCCATGGCCCATCATGCATCCCATGGCCCATCATGCATCCCATGGCCCATCATGCATCCCATGGCCCATCATGCATCCCATGGCCCATCATGCATCCCATGGCCCATCATGCATCCCATGGCCCATCATGCATCCCATGGCCCATCATGCATCCCATGGCCCATCATGCATCCCATGGCCCATCATGCATTATGGGCCATGGGGTCATGGGCAATGGGCCATGGGCGAGAACACATCAGGGCAGGGGACCCCTTCGTTGAGGCACTTTGAAGCAAGCAACCACAAGAAAGGCAGCAGATAGCAAGAGTGGGTGTGGGAGAGAGAGAGAGAGAGAGAGAGAGAGAGAGAGAGAGAGAGAGAGAGAGAGAGAGAGAGAGAGAGAGAGAGAGAGAGAGAGAGAGAGAGAGAGAGACAGAGAGTTGAGGTGGGAGCGAGCAGGAGTGGGAGAGAGCAAGAGTGGGCAATCGAAAGCAAGCAGACCACCCACCGCAGATGAGAGGCATGGCGAATGCAGTGTTGACACGTGGATGCCCCTTGGGCAGGCTGCCAGCTGGCGGGTCGTCGCTCCACACCGCCTCGCCCCTCAGTGCCGCCCGGCCAAAGAGGCCCGTTTCGGACACATCTGTGAAGACAAGACCGGCCGCCGAGTGGTCGGCGAACCACGTCCTTAGCTTGTCGGTCCAGAGAATGTTTGTTATGGCATGGGTCTGGCGAGAGCGGAGGGAGGGCGGGGAGGTTTTGAGATGATTTTCAGGTCCATTGAAAAAATTGATTGTCGGTCCGGAGAATGTTTGTTATGGCATGGATCTGGCAATGGGGATAGATGGGCAGGGAGCAAGGGACGATACACAGATGGTGAGACGGAGAATGAAAGCGAGCGAGTGGAAAGAGAACGCTGAACTAGTTGGGGGGGGGTGAGCGGGAAGAGAACGCTGGGTCTCTTGAGAATGACCCAGGCCATGCATCATGCCATGGCGCAAGCTGGTCACCTCTTGACGGTGAGACAGAGAATGAAAGCAAGCGAGTGGGGAAGCAGACAGGAAGAGGAAGAGACAGGTCAGATGGATGAACTAGTTGGGGTGAGTGGGAAGAGAACGCTGGGTCTCTTGAGAATGACCCAGGCCATGCATCGTGGCGCAAGCTGGTCACCTCTTGATGGAAGCGTGCGTAAGCACACAACATGCATTCTTACCACACAGCACGCCTTCTTACCACGCAGCACGCCTTCTTACCACGCAGCACGCCTTCTTACCACACGGCACAAATTCTTATCACTGAGCACACCTTGCGGCAGGGGTGGCACCGCACTGCACACCTTGAGGCAGGGGTCGCCGTGGGGCATGCGGAAGTTGGAGGCGATGAAGCCGAAGGTGGACTCGCAGATGTCTAAGAGCGCGTCCAGTAGCACCGCACAGCTCTCACTCGCGTTCTCGCTCTGCCATACGCATCCACATTGCGCACAAGACCGACGGGAGCAGGGCATAGGGCGAGGGCGAGGGTGAGGGAGGGAGCGATGAAACCGAAAGTGGAATCGCAGATGTCGAGCAGGGCATCTAGTAGCAGCACCGCACAGCTCTCACTCGCGTTCACACTCTGCTACGTGCACAAGGGGGGAGCCGGAAAGAGGGTGAGAGATGAAGGCAAAAGGCGATTTGTGGGCGACCTATCAGCACTGCGCAGATCCCATTCGCGTTCAAGCTCTGCCGCACCGCACATACGGGGGGAAGCGGGGAAGAAAGGTGAGGGTGTGGGAAGATGAGAGATGAATGCAAAAAAGGCTTGCGGGCATTCAGCAGCAGTTTACAGTGCACTGTGGGGTGGGCGTCACCTTGTCTTGTCGGAAGGCCATGAGCCCATCTTCTAAGGCGGCCACCAGAGCCTCATTGTCAATCTCATCCTCTGCATACACATCATCATCATCCTCCTCCTCCCACCACCCCCCACCACCGCCCATGCGACCCCCTGTCCTCTCACCTTATCCTGTCTGTACGCCATGAGCCCATCCTCTATAGCAGCCACCAGAGCCTCATTATCAATCTCATCCTCTGCATACACATCATCATCGTCCTCCTCCTCTCCCCACCCTCCATCCGACCCCCTGTCCTCGCCTCCCTCCTCTCCTCCCTCCTCCCCTCCTCCCTTCCTCTCCCCCCTTTGAGCCACTTGAAATGCAACCACCTCCCCAAGCTCCCGCCCAGGGCAAATTCCGAGCCTGGACGGGCGGATCGGCGGAAACATGGCTGGCAAAGTGCCACACGCAAGAGGTTCGGCACGGCCGTAACCAAAACCTAACCCTAACCCTAGTTCCTCAGAGCCTGTCGTTAAATTAGTTTCTGCAAGAGGTTCGGAGGGAGTTAATAGCAGGCTGGATCGAGGCTTCGAACCAAGCCCCCATGCCGAACCTATCCCTGCCTTTGCCCTAATCGTGGCCCGGAATCCTTCCACTCTCTCTCCCTCAATTTCTGACTCAGCTCCTTCGTCCTGTGACTCATCATCCCTGTCATCATCCACAGAATCCACGTCAGCGTCTCCCCCTGCCCTATCTTCCCCCTCTCTGTTCCCACCCAGATACGTGTAAGTGTTAGCTTCCATGCCTGCAGGCATGGAAGCGTCCAGACCAGATGCAGCAGGCTCGGCAAAGGCAGTGTTGGGCGCAGCTGGTGGCGCATCAGCAGAAGCAGGGAGGGTGCTAGGGCCCGGCTGCAACGCCTGTAGCAGACTCGGTTGCAACAAACTCGGTTGTAGCAAACTCGGTTGTAGCAAACTCGGTTGTAGCAAGCTCGGTTGTAGCAGACTTGGCTGCAGCTGATTTGGCAGGAGTAAACTGGGCTGCAGTAAGCTGGGTTGTAGCGGGCTGGGCAGCATCATGCCTGGTTGCTGCTGCATGAGAGCAGCCATGAGCTCATTCGGTGCCAACCGCAACAGACTGCCACCACTCTCACCCCCTCCCACCCCTCCCGCTGTCGCTCCTGCTCCTGGTGCTGCCGCTGCTCCGCCCGACCATGCAGAGGGCGCAGCAGCAAAGGCACCACGAGGCACGGACCCCAAGGGACTGCCGCCGGCGTCAGAGAGGGCTCCTGAGAAATTGCCCGAGCGGCTGCTCGAAAGCGTTGAGAGCGCGTGGGGGGAGATCGGGGGCACACCGTACCCTGCCCCTGCACCATCCACCGTACCAAACCCACCACCAGCACCACCAGCACCACCAGCAGCAGCAACGCCAGGAGAAGCAGCAGCAGCGGCGCCGGCAGCAGCAGCAGGAGCGAGGCCGTAGATCAGCCCGCTTCCGCCGCCCTGCCAGCTGTCGATGCTGCTGTCGGATGGCATGGCGCGGTGGTGGTAACCGCCGTAACCCGGCCCGCCCGGGTCGCTGAGCGTGCCACTGTATTGGCCGCCGAAGGAGGGGCCGGGCATAGAGGCGGAGGGGGGAAGGCCAACGTATGATGACGCTGACACCCCACTGAACGTCCGCTGCCCCAGCAACGAGCTCCCTCCCCCTGCGGCTTCTGCCCCTCCTCCTCCTCCCCCGCCACCTTTGCTGCTTCCTGATTGGCCGGCCGCTCTGCCTGGCGTCGCAGGGAGGGATCCTGCGGCTTGTGATTGGACGGGTTTGGACGGGGACGGGGTGGAAGTGGCTGACGTGGCACTGACGCCGCCGCCCGGTTTCACCTCGAACCGCCACAACACCTTATCCGTCACGTGGCTTCCCCTGCCCCCCGCCCCTCCGCTTCCTCCGCCTCGTCCCCCTCCCGCTCCGCGTCCGCCTCCTCCTCCTCCGGTTCTGCTGCTGGGCACGCCCCCGCTGGCGGAGCGCTGGTGCGAGCCTTTTTGCGCGCTGCCCTGTGCGCCGCCCTGTCCGCCGGCCTGTGCGCCCGCGTGCTTGCGCAGCAGCGCGCGCGCCTGTCTCTGCTGCATGCGCTGCTCCTTCTGCGCCGCGCGCAGCTCCTTCTGCGACACCTGCCGTTGCTGCTGCTGCTGCGCTTGATTCGAAGCTTGGCTGCCACTATCGCGTGCGCTTATATCGGGACGAGGGCCTATGTCGCCTTCTCTTAGCGTCCCTACGCCGTTCCCCGTCCTTCCCCCCCCCACGGCCCCTGCAACTGCGCTCCGCCACGGGCTCCGCCCTCCTTCCGCCGACCCCCCACTTCTAGGTCTTTCCCCTCCGCCAGAACCACCACTGACACCGTCACCCACCGTAGCTCCCCCCGCGCCACTTTCCCCCCTATTCTCCGCCACGGCGGAAGCAACCGCTGCGCTAGCGCTATCCACTCTGTAAGACGCCGCACGGGGAACTCCTCCTTCTCCGCCGCCTTTCCCGGCGGCGGGTTTCTCGGAGCTCGCGGATCGCGGCACCATCACCGCGTCGGAACTATACCGCGATGTATCCGAGCCCTTCGGCACAATCACATCGCCGCCCAATCGCAGCTCGTCGCTGTTCCCCGCGCTCGCGCTACGATGCCGCGATCGAACCCCCCATTTCCCGCCGACCGCCGCCGCCGCCTTCCCCTCATTCGCTTTCTGATCCGCTACTCCGCCGGTGGCCGAAACTTCGCTGCTCGACATCGCGCTACTTCCGCCAGCCGGCTGCGTCGCCGCGCTGGTCTCACGCTTATCGCCTGCGTCATTATTACTTTTGTCGCTTCTGCCAGGCTTGCGCTTATCCGTGCTGCCTCGCTGGCGGCCGGCGCCACTTCTCGGATTGGACGCCGCGAGTCTGCCGAGCAAGCGCGGCGTCGAAGCGGCGTTTTGGCGATCTGTGGAGTGCTGAGGGCCCATCGCCCCTTAAGAAACCATAAACAGCCTATTCCGCGATGCGTGGTGCTTCAAATGCTTTACCTTGTCAGGTGCAACGGTGTGAGCTGCTCTGATCTGATCGCCCCGCTTGACATGGCTATATCTGACTTGGGCTTGGGAAGTGACAATCCCTAGGCCAGACTTGGCAAGTGGAAGGTATGGCACAGGGATTGGTGGCTCTACCCCCATGCCCCCTTTTGGGTGCTCCGTTCTTCTGTACACTTGCTTCGTAGTACACCCATATGAAAACTGGCAGGAATTTGCAAGGTATTTACTTCCTTTCGCGATAAAACTACCATTCCACTCGGAAATCTGACACTACAATTCGACAATAGTCCCCGTCGACGTCAGTCATCTTTAGCCTCGCGCAATCCATCCGTCCAACTGTTTCCGTCAGTCCATTGTGCCTCATGCGTCATTGTTCCTCATGTGCGTTGGCGGGCACCCTTGGTTGTCTCGTTCCGTCCTCGTGTGATTTCATGGCAACCGAATGCCCCTGGTGTTTCGTTTTCGATTCACATACACCACGGTTTTCCACGCGCTGAACACTTTTCACCGCTGTGTACCGTTTCAAAACTTATCAAACAGCACTAGACGATCAGCGGGACCTATGGCGGAACACTTTCAGCAAGCAACCACAAGCCCACACTGTTCTTGTGCGTCCCTGCCCATGCCATGGCCTCAACTGTCTCCGTTTTCCTCCTCGTCCCTGCTTCAAGTCAAATGTTGTCACCATAGTTCTTGCCAACAGCAGCTATCCTGTTCAGTTGCTTATCAATGATCTAGTCTCTCACGCGTCACGTTACAATTAGGTTGTCGTTTCACCTGTCAGGAGCGTAAAGTTCTCGTCATCAGTGTTCTCAGCACTTCGTACTTTTTTTTTCGTTGAATTCCACCTTCCCTATATTCATCACCGCCATCGAACCGCGCCATGGCGAGCATAGTCGTCATAACAACGCAGGACGACGCGGCGCACGCGTTTCCGGAATCCGCGATCGACGACCGCCTTCTCATCCCCGGCCTGCCCAACGAAATTGCCATTCGCTGCCTCGCCCGCGTGCCCTACATGCGCCGGCTCCGCCTCGGCCTCGTCTGCAAATCCTGGCGCGACGCGTTTCGCGGCGGGACGATTTACAACATCCGGCAGCGGGAGAAGATTCTCGAGGAGCTCCTGTGCGTCTCGTTTCTCGACAAGGCCCACGGCCGGCTGGTTCTGAAAATCCTCGACGAAGGTTCGCGGAAATGGACGCCGCTTTCGACGGAGTACCGGCATACCAAATGCAAGGTGCGCAGCTTCCACTGCCGCGCGTTCCGCCACAAGGTGTTCGTGTTCACGCGCGACGAGTGGGCGCTCGTCAAGGACAGCAACCTCGCCATGCTCGGCGTCACGCGCGCGGGCGCGGGAGGGGGTGAAGGCGGGGGAGGAGCAGCGGGGAGAGCGGAAGATGTGGGATTAGGGGGAGCGGTTGAGGCTGAGGGAGGAAGGGGAAGGAGAGTGGGGGAAGGGGACGTGGAAGGAAGGGGAGGAGAAGGGGAAGGGGGAAGGGAAAGGGGTGCTGAAGCGGGAGGAAGAAGGGCGATTGCGGGTGGTGCCGCTGAAGCTGGTCAGGCGGGTGGGGGTGGGGGTGGAGGAGGGGGTGGTGGAGGGGGGTTTGAAGTGTCCAACGTGGTTACATGTTACGGGCGGTTCTACACATTAGATCGAAACATGATACACGAGTACAACCTGGAGAGCAAGCAGTGGGAGCCGGCCGTCCCGCTGCCTTCACGCCACCGGTGGGCAGGGTTGTTCCGCCAGTGCTACTTCCTGGTGTCTCTGGACGGCAAGCTCTGTGTGATTGACACGTGGCAGGAGAAGTGGCTGTGGGTAACGGGGAAGGTAAAAGCGAATGCCAGCTTCTTGGAGTTCTCTCAGGAGACAGCTGAGGGATGGGTGGGTGGGGGTTTGTTTGGCAGCAGGAGGGCTGCTGCTGACGGCACAACAGATTCTGGGAGGAGACGGGTTGCTAGAAGTCAGTCTGCAAGTGGGTCGAGATACAGCTGGAGTAGAGTCCACATGCCTGTGGAGACTGATGGGCGGGAACTAGCAGGATACGCTGTGTTTCAAGTGTAAAGAAAGATTCAATCAGGCAGGAATATCACTACTGCTTACACAATAGATAGCTTATACCATAACTTGGGTCAACTGCACACTTCGGTATAGTTTCTGATCCTGCTCATATTATCCAGATACCAGTAGCGGTATGTTTGATAAAGCTGAATGTTAGCCTTGTACAGCTCAACCCTGTTCCGCAAATGCAATTTGGGTGTCTGGCTCAACTAAGAATAACCTCTACACGACACAAAACCGTATAGCGCAAGCTGAGTCACTTTCAGTCCACATCATGTTGACCCACTCAGTACATGGGCGGCATGCCATAGGCCGGCATGGGAGGGGCACCACCGAACGCACCACCGTCCATGCCTTGACCGGGCATGGGAGGCGCTGGCAACGCGAGTGGCATGAGCGTTTGGTACATGTTCTGCACAGAGCACACATAAACCATCGCCACATGACATTAAAGCATTTTGAAGGATAGATGGAGCACAGGAAGCCAAAGACACCAAACTCATATGAACAGGTTAATGAATAAGCATGGGGCCATGGTGTCGGCATCGCATCTCACCGCTTGGGCGATGACCTCCTTCTCCTCCTTAGCCTTCTTCTCCAAGTCCTTCTTGGCCGCCTCCTTGTCCTTCACCAGCTCATCCACCTTGCTTGAATACTCACGCACAAACTGCACCGCATCGCGCACACAGTGGGGTGGGGCACACAAGACAGTGATGAAGTTGATTTTTTATACCTCTTGACAAAGTTGAAGTAGCACAGCACAGACCGCACATGTCAGGGAGATAGTGCATCGTGAGAGAGGAGGAAGGAAACACGCACGAGGAGAAGAGGAAACGGGGCAGGAGGAGGAGAGGAGGGAGCAGTGCGGCACCTGGATGAGGTAGGGCATGACATAGTCCTGCATGTTGTTGAGCCATGCCAGCTCCACCACCACGTCTGGGCGCAGCAGGTCGTAGCACGTGTACAGGCATGCCGCGAAGCACTCCTTCTTGTCCTGCCATACAACGCGTGCACACACACACCACACGTTACCATACCCACACACCCACCCAACCCCATGGCCACATCCAAAAGTCACACCCCGAACCACACCCATGCCCATACCAACACACCCACCCACAAAGAGGCAGCACGATGAGGAAATGGTTGAGGGTCAAAGCACAATGCCAAGACGAGGGGCCCAAGACGGGAGGGGGGGGGGGGAGGTGGTGGATGGGGCCCAGATAAGGGTGAAAAAAAGGGGGAGCGAGGGGGAGGGAGTGGGAGGGAAGGGGTTGCTGCAGGACAAGGAATTAATATGAATATGGATCCGAGCCAAATGCTGCGAGACTTCAGCAGTGACACAGTGACACTGCAGCAGTGGGCTAATCAACCAGTTAAGCAGGAAAAAGCAGGTCAGTGGGCGAAGCAGCAGGGCTGACCTCCTCGAGGAAGTAGTTGAGCAGCTCCTCTGCGAGCTCCCTGTCGCCCGACTGGGAGGCGGTCTCCATGGCATCCTTGTACAGCTTGTCCGACTTGGACAGCGCCAGGGACGCCCGCCAGCGCCCACTCATCTTGTAGATGAACGCCGCTATGCGCCGGAACTCCAGCAGCTCGTGCTTCTCGATCTGTGAGGGCGGAGGAGAGGAGAGAGAGTAGAGAGAAATGGGCGGGGGCGAGGAGAGACAGGCAGGCAGGAGGTGAGATGAGGGTGGTGGCGATGGAGATGTATGACTGAGAACAATGTATATTGCTACACAAACGGGAAGGGTTGAGTGCAGAAGCGTGCTGCATGCCTAAGATAGTGAAGGGCCATAGCTGCATTAGGGGAAAAAATCAAGCTCTTCTGCAATGTAATGCCAACCGCGCAAGTTTGAAACATCTACTCAGGCTGTGCTCAGTTACCCTCTGGGCGAGGGAGATCTGGTCGAAGTTGTCGTGCATGTCGATGGACTCGCGCAGGCGCTCGTAGTCCTCCTCCTCGATGTACAGGTTGTTGAGCGCCTCGTTCACCGCCGCCACGTTCACACTCTGCACCGTCACCAGGTACGGCTTCACCAGCGGCAGGTTGCCCGACTGCAGAGACAGGAAGAGAGGGGTGAGGGGTGCGTTGGGTGTGGGGGAAACGGGAACGAGAAAGAAGGTTAGATTTCACACTCTGCACCGTCACCAGGTACGGCTTCACCAGCGGCAGGTTGCCCGACTGAAGAAAGAAGGAAGGGGCGGGGGGAGGGGTGTGGTGGGTGGGCGGGAGAAGGGAAGGTGGTCAGAATTCACAGTCTACACGTGACCATCAGGTAAGGCATCGCCAGCGACAAAATGGCCACATGTGAGGGTGGGGATGACGCGTTGAAGTGGGCGCTGAACAACAGCTGGGACTGAAACCATGGAACGCTGAACCGAACATATCACCTCTCCGATGTGCAAGCAGGGATATGTACGTTGGGCATTTGAGCAGTCTACATGGCACGAG